TTAAAATTATATATGTTATTGAATTGGTGAGTTAGAATATTATTTATTATATATGTTGATTTTTTACGATAATTTAAAAATATTATAAATTTGACTACAATTATTTAAAAATGTTCATAAGTGGCTAAAAAATTTAAAAACTAAAAAATAACATTTAAACACAGATAATACCTTTCAGTTTGATAATAATGTAAGTAAATTTACTTTAAGCTAATTTAAAAATGGAACTGTTGGAGGTAAATTTGAATTGATATAGGTACCCTTTAAGCAAAGCTACGAATGCTATAATTATGTATATTTTTATCTGTCTGTCGTCATCTTTTGTCTAATGCCTTGATTTTTAATTTTAAGCGATGTTTCTAGTATCAAATTGGATTTAGTAGGTACTTTGGAGGTCTTAATTAAAAAATGTCCAGTGCTTTTCTTTATCATTATTACCAACATCTTAACGATTAGATGGACCTGCGCTGCCACTAATCTAATAAGCCTCTCCATTTTCTCTATCTAAAGTCCAATCTATTGTTGCATTTCTATTTACCAATCTCCCATTTTTTCTACAGTATTTTTTTATCTGGTTTTTGGTCTACTAAGCAGTCTTTTCTTATTTATTTTTAGATTTTTTTGATACATTCTCATTTACTGTCTAAAATTCATTTAATAATTAGGAAAAAAAAGAAAAATGAAATTACGTAAAAGAACTTCGCATTTTTTTTATTTTTAGTATACCTACCTACCTAATTCAAAAACGAATAACTATAGATACTTGAAATTTTCACTAATTTTTATGGCTTATATTATAATTTTTTATACATAATAACTTTTTTAAATATTTTGACTCTTTTGAGATATTCATAAACACAATAACCTTTTCCAATGCAGTGTTTTTGGCAAAATTTATTTTAACCTACCTTGTTAAAAATAGTAAAACTAATTACTTTAATTATTAGAATATGAATAGAATAAAAAAAAACTTAGTATATACATTGACAGACCGTCTTTACTCAGAATCGTATTTTATATGCAGCAAATGATGTAGGTATCATTGAATTCAAATTTAACACATCTATTTTAATAGCCTAATCATTAACAAATAATAAGGTACACACGGCATAATATATCTAATATAGTAATATACAACAGAGTGATTACCTGTTTTCCGACTTTTTTTCTATATTGTGAAATTGAGTCAGCTTACACATGTGTATATATATGTCGTTCTCTCAATAATGATATAAGCGATAATTTCAATAATTATTACTCAATTTGTTACGAAATCTAACTATTTTATAAATAAATTCAAATTATACTGTTGAATTTTAAATAATTTGTGTAATGATTCGTAAATTATGATAATAATTTACACAGTAATAGGTACAGCGATGAAAAATAGATATACAAATTACAAAACGATGTAATGAACCACTCATGTCATTATACAGCAATTGGCGGTTATAAAATAATACCTAAAGTACTTGGTAACTGAATCTTGATAATGAAAAATAGAAAATACTAAAAAATAGCTATTAGTAACTAATCAAATTAAAAATGTAGATAAAAATCATCGATATTTAGTATTTACTGTTCGGTAAGTAACCAATACATTTGACATCAATTGACCAATGATATTTGCCACAAGTAGACATTTATAAGCTAATGTTTCTTTTTCTTTTTTCCAAATTATTTTAAAAAGTATTAAGTATTTTTTCAATTTTAACCTCCCAAAAGTATAAAACTTTAATAATGGAACATAGTAATATTAATTAGTAATTACTAATTATCTACTATTAGTATTATTTTTATATGGATCTATTAATTTATTTTTATAGTGTTCGGTTCTGTTTTTTGAGTTAACTAAGTACCGAGATTATTCTATTGTACAGTATTCTCCACCGATACTATTTTTGTTCATACACCGTGTATGCAATATAAAACCATTAAAATCTCAAATTTTCTAAAATAATTTGTTTATATTTTTTCAATTTCCGTCAACGGTAAAGGCTCCTAAAATAACGATATAGCGAAGATGCAGACAAACAAAAAATTCAGTTGATGTTTATTGGTTAGCTTTTTTTCTTTTTATGTGGACGGCTGCAGCCGTTAAGGTTGTGTTCGATCATCGTTTCTCAACCTTTATAGCGACCTTCCAAAATAGATCGAAGATAGTCATCTCACGACTCTGTTAAAATAAATACCAATTTTATCTTAATTATCGGTTTTACTATAGTTACAAATATTTTATCGTTTAAGTCACTAACAAGTAATATACGCTCGTAAGCTCGTTACGAGAAGAAAACATTTCGAATGCGTATTTATAATATTTTAGTATTTATTTTAAACTTTAAACAAACAACTATCAACAAACAAACTATCGTCTATTTTATTAAATTAAAATTAAAAAAATAAATTAAAAGTGTTTTTTTAGCGTTTAATTATTTCTAATCGGTGTGATTTTTAGGTTGACTAAAGATGAATCATTTATTATTGTCGACTGTCGTAAAGTACGAGAAATGAGTAACATACTAATAAACAAAAATCGTACAGGGTCACGGTATCTAGTGGCGAAAATAAGTGACACGTGAGGCCAATGTATCGTTCTTACGTAGAAAAATTTAAAATTACAGTGGTAGATGGCGCTAGTATTATCGTCAAGACTCGATTTTGTGTAATAATTTGCCGAATAGTTTTTAAAGCGTGAAGAATTGAAAAATGAAAATGACATAAATTCCTAAGAAAACTACCTAATTTTAATGTTTTACGGGTTATTGTCCATTTTACTTTGTAAATCACTCAATTACGAGAACCAAAAACGGGCTGTTTTTCCTGTTAATGAATATAATAATTAATAATATATCCATTTCGATTCAAACGTACTGAATAGTTTATAGTCGCATGGTTTCAATTTTGAAAACAGACTTAGACTTTTTCGAAATAGTTGTCCACAGTATTCAATGTAAACGTTCTAAACACAATATTGAGGCGTTCGACGAAATGTACATTCGCATCATCAGAGCGATATGAAAGAACGAAAATCTATTGATTTAGCAATGAAATAATTTGAGATTAAAATCGATAGGTATGCCCAATTATTGACTTCATGATGTTTATGTGCGTTGTTTTATGTTTACATTCTGGAATAATTCTACGAACCACACACACTAATGAATATATAATTAATCATCATATTTACCATGCACTCCATACCACGAAATCGAATTATGTACTCATTCATTTTTATTTTATTAATACCCACACAGAACTCTTTATACAGAAGATACGGTTCGTATCATTTTATAACTATAAAACGAATTCCAGAAAAAAAAAAACAAACTTCAAAAATTAAGGAGAAAAATACCAAAAGTCCAAAATTATATTTAAGCCATTAAACTTTGCAATGTAAATGTATTCTTAAAACCCATCTTTAATTGAATTTAAAGATTTCTAAAATTTAACACATAGACATATGTAGCCATGTAGGTACTTAGGAAAGACATTTAGTGATAAACGATTAATTTTGATTTTCTACGTGTGTTTTCAATTACACATAGAAATAAATTTATATTTATCAATGATTATTGTCATTGTTCAAATTATAATAATTATAATAATAATTAACAGGGCTATCCGGCTATAAATACAATTAATGCAAGAGGGTGTTGGAGACAGGAGGGTTACCCATTTGCACCAAATTTATCTGCATAAACATTTTACATTAACAAATTGATTAATTTGTATATTTAAAATATGTCTGTCGCGCATGAAAGTTATTTTTTATAAGTCTATAGATTTTAAATTATAACTAAAATAAATTAATGAATTCATAACTAATTCAGATTTTACTATATCTGATGTATCTGTTGTACGAAAAAGTATTTACCTTGTTCGTAAAAAATCTCTTCCTTCAAATCCTAAATTTGTGTCTGATGTTCATACAGCATATATACCGATACATTGATATTATTTCACAACTACTAAGAATGAAGATTAAAATGTGTATTACTGATTATTATTTAAAAAAATAGTGTAATTGACTATAATCATCATCCAAAGCTTCTAATTTTCAAAAAAATATTTTCTTATTAACTATTTATTACCTACTTATTGTTTAAAATAATTTGTAAATTTGTATTATTATTATTAAAAAATTCGTACAATTGACTATAATTTAAATAAAATTGTATTGATTATTTAAGGAAAAAATATATTATTTTATCATAATTATACCAGGTAAATTTGGAGTGAATGGTCTGTCGGTAAAAACATATCTTTTTTATTTTGTCACAAAAGGGTTGTATCCAAAACGAATTATAGTTAAGAGGTTATTCAATTAACAGATACAAAATACAAATATTATAATATTTATGTTAATTATATTATGAAATTGGTAATCTTAAGTTATAATGATAACATTTCCAAAGAAAATATTAAAGGAATTAAAATATTCCAAGTATAATAAAAAGTAATAAATATTTGATGTAAATATTACATTCATAGATCATGACTCATAATATAACAATGATAACTTAAGTAGAAGAGTATATTTATTTATATCTATATAATAATCTAATAATTATCGGTAGGATGTCAATTTAATATAAAGAATATAATAAATAAAGATATAAATAATATATGAAAACAATACTTAAACATAAAATAAATATTATAGCTAATAGATTATTGTGTTATTAATTGTAGATAATAAATACAAATATGTATAAAAATACATTTAAAAAAAAATGTTTTATAAGATTTTCATTTGATACCACAATTTATTACTTTAAGCAACATTAAATATATTATATATATAAAAAAAAATAAATAATTATTTGACTAAGAATTTAAAATGGTAAAGTAAAAATAAGGTATAATATTACAATTATAAAAATTTTAAACAAACATGATTTTTGTATGAAATATTTTAAGTAGAATCTTTTTTAAATTTATATAAACTATCAATATTTATACACAATATAATATATACAAATATGTTACTATAAAAAATTAATCATCTCACAGTATTAAGTTATTTGCTCAAAAAAATCATCATCATAATTTGAATATATAGCATTAAGCTCTTTGTGTGGTATTTAAGTTTGGTGATTTTTTTTGCTTGGTATAACTATATAAAAATATTGAACACATTACAAGCATTGTACCTACAACAAACTGAATACTTATTGTAAAATCAAAGAAGTACATTGAGAAAACACACGCAACAACAATTGCTAAGGAAGTAGCAAATCCTTTTAATATATTATCAGCATATTTTACAACCATAGCTACAATAAGTCCTCCAGCTGCTTGTAAGCCTATCAAATAGGCTATGTAGAGGTCGTAACCAAAAAAAAAACCTTTATCATTGATATTTTTCCAGTCTGTAATAAAGCACATTATAAAACCTAACGGGATAGAAACAAAACTCAATTGGATATTTCGCATCCATATTGATATTTCAGCTCCTTTCAGTATTTTTTCAAAATAAACTCCAGCAAATCCAGACAAACAACATGCGATGAGGGCTGCAACTAATCCAACTATTCGATTTTGATTAGGGTAAATTTTTTGAGTTTTGTCAGTTGAATTATTTAGTTGAACAAGAATGACACCTAAAATTAAAATTATTAATGCAATCCATTGATGTCGGAATAGTTTACGTTTCAATATCAACACTGAAAAAACAGCAGTAGTAAATATTTTAAGTTGATATGTGACTTGATAAGTAGCTGCATCTAAGTTTGAAGTAGAGACGTATAGTAAATTGTTTTGTATCAGATATACTAGAGATGGTATACAAACTTTCAGTGTGTCGATCGGTTGTTTAATAATTGTATTATTTAGTAACGATATGAAATGTTTCCAGGAGAGCGATTCTGTGTGATATACTAGTACTAAACAAACAGAGAGCTTGAATACTTCAGCCATGACAACAGCGGTAGAAGATATGAACATATCTCCAGGCCGAGTTCGAGCATAGCGCATGCTGAGTGCAACCATGGCATTTTGAAGGGTTAGCGTCACTAAAGTGATCACTTTTAAACTAGATTTGCGACTGTGACTGGTCTGCATCGTTTCTACTTGTATTTCTAAATTTATTTCTTCTTTTTGTTCGGTCATTAAACTACTATTACATATACTTGACTCGTAGTATTTGTAGCTTACTGAGGTCCAATTATAGATATCTCTTGATCGTGGACCATTTGTCGAAACACCGGCAATTTGGTGGCGGAGACATCGTTCGATGAAAAAATTCAAAACGCAAATGTCATCTTTTCAAATTTTACGAATAGCATTGATAAAAACGAAAATTCCTCTGTGTATTGTGTACGTAAACACCGCCAAAGTTCGTAATTCGTCCTAAAATAAACTCACTAAACTTACTAAACTGGACGTGGCAACTGGCAAATGGCAATGATCGGTTGGCAGTTGACAGTTGGCACGTAGACGTAAGAGTTGGCGGTTGCCGAATGCTGAGTGCTGACTGGCGGACCAGTGACTATAACTACGCGAATGTTTACGTTGATAAATGATAATGCGTATCTCGGTAGCAACCACGTAATTATTTTCAATAAAAATAAAAAATAAAATACAGTTCAACTATGGTTACTAGTTTGCTACCACGATTTAAGATATTATTTATCTTACAATATTATCATACGTACCTGTGGACTGATCTAAACATCTGCAGAGTTTCAGCAGCTGATTAGCGACGGAACGTGTGTGGTGACTGTTATCAAAATATATTACTAATTTACCATTTTGATTTCTTAGTTTTTATTTTTTCTAATATTCTGAATTCTGATATTCTGTAATTCTACTGTAGACGTTGGTTGTGTTTATCCTATATTGGTAGAGTCAAGTATAGTAAGTTATGGATACTGTCTTTTTGATAATTTTTCTACTCGTTATTTCGTAAAAATTATTGTTTAAATTTTGTCTTGTTTAGTGATATTTCTTAAAATTTTTATTTTTTAGTAGATTCAAAACGTTTTTTGACTCCATCTTTTCCTGCAGGCTGCTAATAAATAAACTTTATCAGTCATGAACACTAAAATGATTGTACGGTTTTATCAAGTACGTTTCAACAAACTTTTAATATTTTATGAAAATTTTAACAAAAATTTTATTGGGCAGGATTAGATATTATTTTACGCATTAAAAATTAATGAAACTTGTAAAAACATAACTATGTACCCACTATTAAGTGATTACAAATACAAAAATATGAAATACCTAAAATTGATTTTTATCTTACTACCATTTTCGGTACCTTTACTTAAATTTTCAAGTAGAAGGCACCTGTAAAAAAGTTTGAAAAATTATATTCAAATCACGTAAGCATAAACAAAGTTGTAAATAAACATTTATTTCCCCCTGACTGTTTTTAGTTTTTTAAGACATACGAGTATTTTTCCTTTTAGGATACATTTTTTGATACAAATTTTTTTTTAAGTTTATTATTTATTATATGAAATTATTTTATTTTTTTGTCTTAGAATCTAATTTTACCTAAAGATAGATATACAAATATTTCCATTCATACAATAAATTACAGATGTATACTTTTGATCATATTCTATTTAAAATAATAAATTATGTTTAAGACATGGGTGTATCTGTATTGTATGATTTATCAAATGACCTTAATTATGTTGATAAACTATTGTTTTAGTTTGATAGAACATACGTCAATAGAATTTAGAAATAACTAGAGAACAATTACAAAATCAAATAAATTATTTGGTATTTTGGTGATTTTCTCCATTATTTCCTTTTTTTTCATGGAATGTACATATACTTCAAAGAAAAACATAGGTAGAACAAAATATAATATAAGCGAAAGTTTCAATAATGAATATAAAAGTTTGATAAAATCTCAGCATCTAAATATTTGAATGTTTATTGAAGTACTCTGGGGATCAAATTCACTAGCATTTATTAATTTTTTTAGTATTCAAACCTGTATAGTTTTTACAAACAATTAATAAATAAATAAGAATAAAGATTTAAAAATATGTATTTAAGAATAACAAATGAATCAGAAATCAAATTTTTTTACAAAATGTATCATATTATGTATTATAGTACTTATTTTAAATATCACTTATTATTTTAATAGTGGTTTTTATTATTTCAAGTAGACAATGATTAAAAATATACATCTATAGTTTATTATATTTATGAAAATATTTAAATAAAAAAAAAAATTGTTTCATATTAAAAAAAATATTAACTTTTAAAAATATGGGGAAAAATGTATCGTAAAAGATGTCTTATTATAATGAAAATAGTTGAAGAGGAAATTATCTGCGATCTGTTAGAATATATAAATTTAAAGTGCAAACTTATTTACTTAATTAAAAATGTATCAATTAAATAAATAAATAGTTGTTTAAATGTGGGTATTTTACTAAACTTTTTAATTTGATTTACAATAGAATTTGGGGTTTATAAAAAAAAAAAATAGGTTCATATGTTTCAAAACAAATTTATATTATACAAGATTTTGTTGCCTTAGTAATTATGATATAAAAAAATCACACTTCCTGTCATGTTATAGGTAGATATTATCTAATATTAAAATTATCTTTTAAATATTTTTAGACTGTAAAACCTCATCAGCCATTAATCCAGTTTCGACATGGTGTTCCAGAGATAAGTATGTAAATATTATTATAATATAATAATAATTGTAATTAGTAAGCATTTTAAAAGTATCTACATCAAAATGATTGCTTTAGATAAACTTGGGTAGTTAAGTAAATAAAACTAAAAATCATTACCTATTTTTTCAAAAAATGATCAACTCATTTTTAATTGTTTAGTTATGTATTAGTGACTCACTCAGTTCTTTGATTATTCAGAATAACGCCTTGAGATTCTCAGCCCTAGTAATTATTATTTTTTAATTTTCTTTAGGAATATTCTTAACATTATTTTTTGTTTTCATTTGGCAAATTTTCAATGATGGCTGGCTTTAATTCAACAGTATCTATTACTTATTAGTTATATTGGCCTAGTTAAAATTTTGCTACAAAATTCAATCTGAAATTGCTTGCTTAAATTGATAATATTAGTCATTGAAATGTAAACTATAAACCTAAAATTACAATATTATAAAATTGGCATATTGATAGAAGACCATAGGATCTTAAAATGTTAATTTAATCTTAATATTACAGATAAATCTAAGTCAACCCCGTCGTCACCTTCTGCAATTGGTGTAGTTCAAACAATAGAAGACTATCAAATACCTACAAAATTTAAAAGAGTAATGATGGAGGATGCTGAAATAAATGCTATTAACGTATGTAAATGAAAGCAAATTAAATTGTAGTAGAAATTAATTAAATAAATATTTTAATTTTTAGTTATTTTATAATATGATTTCTACTATATATTTTATTAAATAATAATTGTACTCCCGAGTTATAATAATTTTTTATTTTCAGAGTGGTGGAGCTGAATGAAGATTTTGATTATGTTTTAACTCATATTTAGATTAAATATTTAGTAAAAATATAAAAACATAATAATTCAATATATTTTCACAGTATTAAGGTACTTATTTATTTACTTATTAATAATTATAATGTTTGTATAAATAATTGTTTGATTTGACTTAATTAATAAAGATTTTGAAATTAATTATTTTTTATTAATAATAATGGAATACATTATACTCATATTTAATGTGTATTCCTACTCTGAACAATTGTTTATTATTATATTTTTTACGTCCTTAGTTATGGATGTTTTTTGGTCTGAAAAAGTAATCTAAAAGTTCCAAGTACTTAGCTCAGCTATTTTCATAGGAAATGTAATAACTAATAATTATCTAATGCAGTTAAAATTCATCTCATTCAATTAAAAAATTACATTTTAAACTTTTTTAAACAGTAATTTACTTTTAACATTTATAAATTCTGAATTCATATATTTAATTATCTAAGTATGGAAATTGTACTTAGAATTATTGTAATTTTGAATTGATTGATGTTAAATATAATTAAACCCAGATTATTACTGAGCAATTAGGGTAGGTATTAATTATTTCCAGTGATGGCTAGTAAGGTCCATATGAGATGATGCAAAAAAAAAAATGTATAAGATACCTATGTAAGTCTGTAAAAAAATGTTAATTTTGCTTTAGGTATATAGGTACTTAAAATAATGTACCTACTTATCTAAATTAAATTTTTTTTAAGATTTTATACCACAGTAAAATAAAAATAACTTATTATGTATGAAAAACAAAGACAAAATATTAAAGTAATTATAATTTATTATTTTATTTATAAACAATTATATAGGTAATAACTAATTGAGTTAATGATTCTTTCATCTGTAAAAATAAATAAATAATTTGAGATTTAACTAATTACTGTTAAGTATGAAAATTTTTTGTTTATTTCAAACATATTTTAATAAAAATTATGAAACCTGTTATAAAATAGTTATTATTATGAAATAGATGTAGGTACTAATTTAAAATTGTACACATAACTACACAAGTATTAACACTGACGAGTGACAGATAAATGTATCTTGTGTCATGATTGTTTAGTAATTCTATCATGATACAAATTATGATATGAAAGATTAATATAACAATATAATGATAGTTTCTTTTAATCATAATTAGTTATAACTAAGTAAATATATTTTAATACAATTTTTTAAATTAATAATTTTGAATATCTAAAGCTGAGTAATCATTTTATATTTGCTAAAGTTTTATATATATTATATGTTTTTACTGTTTTGATTAAAATAACTAGCTTGTTTAAGTATTCAATTTTAAACTTAAATTAATTTTATTATTTACTGCCATTACAGCAACAGATAAAAAAAAAAATCTACCGATTTAATTGATATTTGCCTCAAGAGTATTCTCTATCACAAATTTCTCATATTTTCAATGTTCTAATCGTTTATTATACAATTTATACTAGACAAAGTAGTTGGTGCATTTCAGACTAATTATTTATATCTTAAAATTATTGTCAAGTTGTAATACAAAAATATGAAAAATTAAGTACTATATAGTATAATTACAAAAAAATTGAAGTATTTAATATACAGTATAATATGATATATACAATGTTTGATCATATGTATGTCAAATAAGATATAACTTATGATTTTAAGAACATCAATACCTAGTCTATAAGTAATTTTTTTTTAATAAATATTATTACTTATTTTAGTATTTTTTACATAATAAAATATTACATATTAAATTCTTAAAATTATTTTTTTAAAGTTAAAAACTATGGAAAGTTGTAGAATCAGAGTAGTTGTAGATGTCTACCAAGTTGATTTGTGGTCTCTTCGTAAAGTCTCCTATAGTAATTTCTCAAAGATACTTGATATTTAATTGCATCTCCTATGGTGTCTTTCCTGTTCACTTCATTGCATATATTCCTCCTATGTTTACCAAAAGTTATACACAGAAATTATTATTAATAGTAATTATTAATTGGTAATGTGTTTCAAGATTATTTCATATATTTTTATCTTATTAGCCATAAATACTAGGCTAGTGTTAAGATAGTTATGATACAGTTCATTCCAAATCAAAAAAGTTATAAAAAGGTGATGTGGAGGCCAAATCTTCGTTCCAATGTTTCTTTTTAGAGACATTTTGTGAAATATTTATTAGAATTTAAAGAACCTTAAAAATATCATATGGTCATATTTATAAAAATAAAATATAGTTATATCATTATTTCATTATTTATGTATTATTATTACAGTGTATCAAACCAAGAAATTATAAATAAAACTCAAAATTAAAAATCTAAGATTTGATACCTATTATACCCAAGCAATCAATACTACGATACGAAATGCAAGGAAAATAATTTAGAAGGTTTATACATATACCATGGTGACGGTTAATTATAATAAAATCAAAATTTGTAATAACAGATCGCTTATAAATTATACAATGAATGATGGTGGAGTGTTATTAAAATAATTAGTGATGGAGATGGAACAAATAAAGGTATAAACAGGAGAGTATGGGAGTAGATATTCTTTGATATAGCACAGTGACGCTGAAACTAATAAGATAAATAAGTGAAAAGATTGTTTTGCTTCAAGTGAGATTCAAGAGGAAATATTGACTTCAATTTCTAACTCTCTGGACATCATAATTGAAAGCGACTACGTTTGATTATGATGAACTTCGACGTATCAGTAGGGGTAGATATTGTGGACAATTCCACGATAATTTCAATGTTCGTAGTTGGATTATTTAGATATGTAATTTTGTGTCAGTTTAACGGTATCAATCTCCAAAAATTCCGTTGCGGTTAACGTTGATGTTATTGCAATGGTTTGTTCTTTTTTTTCAATGGTTGCGATGTACAACGAATTAATTGTTTTTACCGGCATTATTAGGTGCTAAGTAGCCGGTGTTCATGTATTGGGACATCTATACGCCCGTGATAGGAACGATTATGACATTTTGTTCATACAAGTCATAAAAATTTGACGTATTGTTTGGATGTAAATTAATTTCTTTTAACGTTTTATATAGCCTCCAATAAATTACATTTACAAGTCGTTATAACACAATACCAGCTTGCCAGTACCCATAATAAGGATTTATGGCTCAATTTTTTTCCAAACAGCATTGAATAAGTAATAGGTATCATAAAATATTTTAATGACAATTAATTTAATTTTTATATTTTTATGATAGTTTAATAATATTTGGTTTTTAATTACGAGATAAGCAATATTTATTTTTATACTTTCGAGGAAATTTTTTTTTAAACTATAATATTTTACTTATTTAAATAACTATAAACACGTTTTAATACATAACACAGTTTTTTTCTAACATTATGCATTGATACGTATTAACAAGTTAACACACTCATTATTTATTATTTTATTTTTTAATTAATGGCAATACACATTTTTTACAGTTATTTTTATTAGTTATTACTGTTACCTGTTTATTATTATAATTATTATTTTAAACTATCGTAGAACCATTTTTTAAATTTAAATTTTAAAACAACAGTTAATTTTTATAACTTAATATTACTTGCAAATTAAAATAAAATTTGTCACCTTAATCCTCTTTAAATATAATGATGTCATTAACGTTTGTGACTTAATAAATTAAATTTCGATATATTATTATCAAGGTATCACTATTATAAGTAAAGATTTATTTTTATAAATAAAGCTTATTATATGTATATTTTAACAAATTATAATTTAAAATATCCATAGTGGTCGGGATAGTTATAGTATTTCACACAAAGAAAATTAAAAGCTTTTAAAAGACATTAAATCTATTCATTTTGTGTTTTTGATGTATAATACTATAGACTGTTGTTAATACACTTATATTTTATTTTGTTGGATTTTTTTTATACTGGAATAAAAACACTAAACAGTAGAATTATCAGCATTATATTTTGCAGTAAAAGTTGCTTTATACGAGAAATATATAAGTTCCGTTTATCTATAACATTTTTATTATCTGAAAAAGCCTAATTAATTTTAATAATTTTAGCAACCCCTTCATTTTATTATCGTTAGTTGTGTTAATGTTGGTTAGATTAAAGCATAAAAATACTATCATTAAACATTTAGTAGGTACTACATGTTTACATGTCTACATATCTATTTAAAAATAATTTTCTACAACAATAATTTTGTTTAATATATTTTAATTTTTAAATTAGCAGATAATATATTAACTATTAATACTGATTAACACAAAATAAAATGTTGAAATTCAATTATTTTACCAGGAAGGGCTTAACATACAGTCAGGCATGCCACATTTGCAATGATACACATCCAAATGTAAACGAGCTTTAATCTTAGGATTTATTTTCTTTGGTTCTTCGCCTGAATTTTTGAGTATTACACAATTTTTCGTTTTTTTTTCTTCATTTAATATAGAATCTTCATCACTAAAAAATATTTTTATTAACAATTTAAATAGGTATAAACGAGAATAGTGTATACATTTATGTTTAAAAATACCTTATAATTACCTTGTTTTCATCGATTCATTTGTACTGCTGCCTTTTACATAAACAATTTGTTATTTTTCTAAAATGTTTTAAGCTAAAAATTAAAATTTTACATACTATTATTTAACTTTGATTTATAACACTTATAGTTATGTGCTCTCATGTTGAATGTTGCTTTCATATTTTTACCAAATTTATTTGATGTAGTTCCTGTATTTTCGCATTCATCATTATCCAAAGATTTATGTTTCAAATTTAAACACTCCTTAGTATTTTTACAATCTCTAAAATAGGTAGGCACACGTAAGTTTAAATAGTCTTATATTATTTAAATTTTTATTAGGTAAAACAATAGATAATATACTTGTTCAACTACTTAATAAAACTGTATACCAGATAAATATAGCACTAGCTACTATATTAAGCCACAAATGGGTTATTTAATTATGTATTTTAATTTTTAATTTAAGTTTAAGTTATTTTAAAATATAAACTAATTTAAGTAAAAATGTTTTAGATAAACATTAACTTAATTAAGTTAAAAGCGTAAAGTTATTAATTGGAAAACATTAAAGTTTTGGTGTAGTCAGCTTAGCTCAACAATGAACAGTAAGCATACCCAAGCATTATTATTTATTTATTTATTTATTTATTTATTATTATTATTTTTTTTTAAGAAAAAGCTATTTATCATGTATTATTTATCGGAGAACTATAAAAATTTTAAATTACAAGAATCATTGGTTACATTTTAATAATAAAGTATATTTAAAGTCGTAATCAGCTATTGGTTTGATCTATAGATTCTTTTCTTTTGTTTATTAGTTGACCACTTGTAATATACAATCTCAAACTCTACAAAAGCACTTTAAAGTACCTAATGTGGTATTATACATTATAAATGTTATTTAAGCTGGTTATGTGACAGTTCCAATATATTTAATGAAAATAATTTTGTATATAAATATGTTTTTAACTTTTCATAATTAACTTCAACTAGGTACAGAAAATAATTAAGTAAAATTAAAACTTTTTTAACCAAAAGCAACTAAGGCTAATAATTTAACTACTTAGTTATTTTTTAAATAGTAAGTTAAAAATCATTGAAAAAATAACTTCACCTTAAACTTTTTAACTAGTTAGTAATTAGTTTCTAGCTTTATACATAGTCACATAATAGGTAGTACTGGTAGTAGATACTTGCCTAAAAGGCTATATAATTATTTTAATAAAAATGTTGTTTTATTGATTTACCTGTTTTCATTTATATGCTCGTTTATTTTGGATTTATTCTCATCTTCACCTTCATCGTTACAGTATAATATTATTAATATAGCAAAATGTTAAATAAATATATATTTTAACTTACAGTGTTTGCAAGATTGTTTTAAACGACATTTCAAATCCATTATGTTGTTATTGGTCTAATAAATAATAGGTATTAATTATAGGTAAGAAATGTACCTACATAAAATATTATAAATGGACAATGGTCGAAGTAATTTTTAAAATAAGCGATATGGATGCGTTATAAACTTATATATCTATAAACTATTAATAATCAACATATTAAAAATATCACTCAATATATCAGATACCTACACATTGTAAAATTGAGGTTTAATATCCATACAAAGTCCCTAACAATAAATAAGTAATTTAAAAAATGGTTGTAATAGATGTACTTAATCTATAGTTCATATTTCATAAGTATATCTATCATTTTATTTTTAAGCCTACCTATTAATCTGTTATGATATAGGAATTTACAATAATAATATATAAAATTAGAATGTTTGAATTTTAAAAACGTACCTGCGCCTATAACACAATATATTATATGATGTGTGTTCATAAATCATTAATATTTGTAGTATTAAATGTTTACAATTTTACTATAAATTACGTAGTTTATTATTGAGAAAATAGTTTGAAATTAATAATAACGCAGCAAAACATTTAAAATTAGATAATATTCAGATCATCAGTCTTAAAAATATAATGGTCAAATATTCAAACCCGTTAACCGTTAAAGTATAGTTATTGGCATATTTTCTGTCACTAAATATTATATTTATTTTGTGTTATACCCAAATAAATATATACAATGTTTCTCATGATTAATAAGGGTTAATGTTATAGAGAATAGACATAAAATATGCTAATTAGGTACTAAACAAACAATAAATTACTTATGTATAATAAATAACAAGAACTTAGGTTCAGTCAATTTACAGCACTCTTTAAATATATACATCTACCACCAATTTCTTTAAAAAAACAGTCTCAAGTGATGACAAACGTCTGTTTAGTGTTTACTCATTAGATTCTATATTGGTATTACTTTTGCGTTACTTAGTATCCAAGTACAAAAGCATTATTAATAATTGACTTATTCAGTGGCAGTATAAAGTACAAACTTTTCTTTCAATGAGACAGGAAAAAATGTTAGTTGCATCACCCCCGGGCTACGACCCGCTTAATTTATTTGCACATACCTTAACCTAGGTTTTTCCTCTCACCACCCGGCACTTATTAAAATATATTATCAAATTTATTCACACATAATAGTAGTCTATGGTAATAATAACCACATGTTGATAATAATAATATTAAATACTAATTATCGGTATTATTATTATTTTTAGTATGATAAATTAAACGATTTAATGTTCATATAGATTATAGTTTATGATCCAAGATATTAATAAGTATTAGGTATCTAAATTTTAAATTCTAATCCAAACATTCTAAAGTATACAAAAAGTAGTGATGTTGTATAAATACAAAGTAGGTACCTACATAATATTTTTTTAGAACGCATTAGTACATTAGTTGTTATAGGTACCTTCCCACCATTTTAGTTGTGAGAAAAATGTCTCATAAAAATCTTCTCGCACCGCTACTAATCTTATTCAATTGACAAGCGTACAAGTATGTGCGCATGATAATATTTCTAATATTTAAAAAATTAAACACTAATTTATTTCAATAAATATATTTATTCGTCTCTAAAAAGTGTTCATTTATGTAATAGAATATTCTTTTTTATATATAAAACATACACGGAAATACATTTTAGAAATGTTATATAGATTATAGGTATTGGGTAGTTAAAATACCTAATATTTTGTTATCATATTTCTAATGATAAAACAATTAAGCAACTTACGGTTGCGACCAAACACCTGGATTAATTATAAATTATGGTTTGATGTTAGGTGGTATTTTGTTGTACTACGGCATTAAATTCCCTTTAAGTTTTTACTTTATATTTGATTGTATGAACTTCTAATATAGGTACTTTGCTAAGAATTTATACTTATTTAAAAAAAGGTAACCTTATGAAAAACAAAATTATAATTTTAAGTACAAGGAGAATTTATAAATATTTTAAAATTAATTGAGCTCTAAGAAATATTGTGATAAATGATAATAGGTATCACCTAGTTTTCTTTTTTGTCTTTTTTTATTTATATACTATTATTAATCTAAGTAGGTATACCTACCAATGTGGCAATATAGATAACTTTAATTTTTAATAATAATTAATGAAGTATAACATTTTGAAACAAAATAGGTATCTACTTAGTATAAATTAAATGTCAATGAAAAATATTAATGTGACATCATATCGTATCCATCCTACTTTGACCACCGTTAAATTAGCATATTATATGTTATATGCATAGTTTATACATATACTTATCGTTGAAGGTGCTAATAAACTATTTATATAAAAATATATATTATATGTGTAAATAATATATGCAATATATATCAAATCCTCCCAATTATATTTTTTATCATAGATTTATTATAATGCTTTAATCTAAAGACTGGAACTTGTTCGAAATGAAATATTTTCAAATAATTAACAGGAACCCATATATTTTAATACGAAATAAATGATTTTGTACTTCTGTGATTATTTTTTCGAGCATAAGGATTAAGTTTTGATAAACTAATATTACTTTTGTTTAGTTGTTTATTGTTCGTAAGTCTTGAATTTAAATGACTGTTTTATTTTTATAGATAATATAATATACCTACCTACATTATTTAATTATTAAATAGTAACTTTATAACAATACTTTAATTTTTTTAAATTATTTTACAAAAGTAGAAACAGAAACCAGAACTTTTAGAAAAAGAAATAGCTTGGTATAGGAACTAGAAGCAAAATCAGAACCAAAAAAATACAAGGTACCAGTTCCTGTAGTTTAATTGCCAACTTTACTGGTAGCATAATTTAATTGAATACATTAATATATATTATTGATAATAAACTAATATCTAATACCTTTATAGAAATATAAATTTAAATTGATATTACCTTTATTCCCCTTGAGCAATATAGTAGACTGTCTGTGTCTGTATCTGAATTAATATTTCTATCATCGTTAGTTGTCCTATATTAAAGCAATATTGATAAGAAATAAAATAAAATAAAAGTGTATTGCTAAAATTGCGTATATTATATAACCTATTTTCTGTTTTATGTGAACACGGTGAATTTATCAATTTAGAGTGATGAACTCTTTTCATTCTGTTTGACTGATTTTGCGTTTCTAAATATTGAGATGAGCTATGATTTGCAAGTAAAATTACGTTTATTTGTTCTGTAACACTGGTCTTGGTGACCAGAGTAATTTTCGGCGAAATAGTTCCCTGTGATTAATCATTGTTATTATTATTATAATTAAATATCATCACGTATTATGCACGTTGTTCATTATACCAATTATGATGTAAACAATGATCTCTACTTTTTTAATTATTCAAAAACTAGTAGATAAATATCATAATTAATAAAGTTAAACATAACTAATTTTTAAGCTAAACAAAAAGAACGAAAAATTTAAATTTTGCAAATTTCATAGACAACGGTGTACACAGGAATTAGATGATATTTTTATTTGGTCTTTAAATACAACTATTAATATAAGTATATACTATATAGATATTAAATTCAAAAAATAATGTATAAACTAGCCTAATAAAAATGTAGATTTGCAAATTTGAGTATAAATAAAATTTGAAAAATAATTATATATTTTTCAAATTAATCGAACAAACTTTTGGGGTGGTTACGGTTGCGTGAAATGACCCCGTAATAATTTTTGATTATAATATTTTAATAACATTTATGTAAATTTTAAAAATCAATTCGTAATTGTTTACAATTAATTTACAAATAGCATAATATTTTAATTAATAGGACAAAGTCAAGGGATGGAAGGTTACCTTTGTAAACATGTTAAATCGTGTATGTAATTTCGTTCTTATAAACGCCTAACATAGTAAGTTAAAAATAATTATCCATTTTACTCTGTTATTTTTAATACTTGAGTCAATATACCAGATCTATTGTCCTATTTAAAGATAAATTTCCTCTAGTAGGTTTTTTTTTAAATTTTAGACAAGTTAAGTGTTAAAATTTTAAAATGTTATTAATATATTATTTAATATACAAATTTTTATCATATGTACTTAATATTAATGGGATGAGAATATTTTTTTGACGTTGATTTTTCAATGGGGAAATTTCTATTATACGTTCCTATGTTAATTTTAAAGGTATTTTTTTTACTAGATTATAAAAAAACGAATTAAGTAAACATTGTTTAAAATGGTTTTAAAATAAGTAATATGTTTAAAAAAATATTATAGTATAAATGCTAATTATTACTTTAAAAACGATTTATTACATTTGAACATTTATCTGAACAATTATTTAAATATAATTAATATATTCGTTATACATATACTAACCGGAAATAAAGGTTCATTTTTCATAAGCAATGCCATTTCTCCATTTTTATTCAACCGACTACGTTCAGGATATAATACTTCATCGACATAGGAACTATATGTGGCTAAAGTGACTTGTTTCTTTTTGTAGGCTTGCACTAATGCTATTTTTATGCATTTTTCTTCTAAAGATTTTTGAATATCTCTCAAGTTTGAGAGTTTTGCAAAGGTCTATAACATCAAACAGATAATTAAAAAAAAAAAAAAAAATAGATAAAAATGACTAAAATATGGAATTAATAATGTTTTACTTTGTGGAAGTTAAATGTTTCGTTGAAAGTTAAAGGAAATTTGGGTTCTACATATGATGTGCTATTGTTACATCCGAACAACCAAATATCGAGATATATCATTCCTTTGGGACATATGCATACACCGGGACATGTGACCTATAGTTAAGTATATATATTTAATATTGTTGATTTACTTTGCTTAATTTCTCATAAAAACCATAATAAAATAGTAAATAATGATATAAATATATTGATGGCATAACAAGTTAATGATACTTACGTCTAAAATATCTAAAACTACACATATATTAAACGATTTACACGACATAATCGGCAGCAGTTAATGTATGAGTATTTTAGTGTTTCATTGCGCAAGATGTGTACGAATAATAGTCAAACATTCCTACATGGCACCGAATACAGGACGTATACTTGCGTGTTAAGAGCTTTTTACCGGTGTATCCAGGGTAACGTGCTTTTAGGTAGATACAACACTAAAACTTAAAGAAGTAAGATGGTTCAATAATAAATCTATATTATTTTATAGACATAGTTGTTTTGGAATAAAATACTTTAAACGTGAGTTTACCGATCGAATTTCATCCGAGGACTTCTGGTTACAGTTTTTGTTGATCATATAATACGATTGATGTACATATACAAGAAAATAGATATCTACTATGGAAACGACATCAAAAAAATAAAACTTACATATTTCTAGTGGATTAAAAAATACCTATAGTTAAACAATAAATTATTTGTAATTTTATATGAAAATAATTATAATAATTAATAATTATAATAATTTATAATTATTGTGACTAAAAATGTTTCCCGTATTATATTTTGTAATATTTTGAAATGATTTATTTTTAATGAATCAGATTTTCTATCCAATTTATTGCGACTACGGTGACAATTGACAAATAATAAGGCATAGCATATCACCATATACAATAATATACATTATAGTAATATATGAAGTAATTTAATATTTTGAATATTTTTTTAACAAAATAATAGGTAGATAGGTACTATAGCAGAAACTACAATATTTTTAAAATACTAATTAGTAATTAGTAATTACTATACATATATATTAATATATTATATTACATTATTACCTACATAATACTTAGTAGTTACCTACTAATAAAACGAACTTGTGATCGTGTAAATAGGTAGCTACTATGGTTTTAAATATTAATTGATGTATAATAATATTAAAAACATATTAAAGTTAAATAAAAAATACTATTTATTAATTAGGCATGATTTAATAACATAAAATATTTTAGGATAATAAACATATTTGTTCAGGAAGAAAATTATAATCTTAAGTAATATGATAAGAAGGTATATTATCCATAATAATCGATAATAATATAATAATCTATAGGTCTTTATCAGACTAGTACTACATTATAGTTTTATTAAATTTAAATAATTTTTTTAAACATTCAAACGATGTAAAATTGTTGATCTATAAAAGACAACTAAAGTTTATTGTATAAATATTACATACTCACTATATATTTACTTATTCTCCTATAATTATAATATTTTTAAATAAATAAAATTAATTCAAGATTTTTGTTTACATAAAATGGTTTTTTTGAAAATTCGGGATTTAGGAAAAGTCTGTTTATCTAGAATAAGACTATCTTGAGTATTAAACGTTTCAATTTCATCATATAGGTATGGGTACTACCTCTATGTAGATATAACTAAAATGTATATTCAATTAATTCATTATATGTTTTAACTTTTCATGTTTAATGCCAAACGGAGTAGGACAATAATAGATAAAATATAATTTAAATAATATTATAATAATATACATTATCAATTATAATCGATTTTGAAATTTATCTAGTTATACAGCAGTATATAATGCCATAATGGGTTATCTATGCATGTCTTTATAATAGGTAAAACCATAAATTATATCAACTAAAAAAAAAAAAAATGTTATCAATGATATAACTATTCACTAGAGAGCTTTAAGCATAGGTTATCAGCCTATCTATGTATTGCGAACTAGTTATTATGAAGTGGCAATTTAATATAATATTAAAGGTACATATTTGTGATGATAGAATCTCATGTAATAACTAATGGTTGTAAAATGCACCCAGTTATTGCGGAGTATATAGACATGAATATTATAATGATATACCAAGTATAATTCTCGTAAGAGTATTTCGAATAATTAAAAAAATTAGTGTACTTATATAGGTACGAGGTGAATTCATCGATACACGCGACGGACGTTTGTTTGCAGTTCTTGTTTTCAATAGACATGACCTCGGTTGACATCGCGTGTATGTTCCGCGGAAGGCCAGGAAGCTGCACGAAGCGTGTGTTTCGAATCTTAATCGTTGTAAAATAATAGAAAAAAATCGCCAATAAGGAAAGCCCCCGCTTTGTACTCATCACCATGGCTATCACAATATCAATAAAGTATCATTATATTTGGAAATCAAGTACTGTTAATTAATTAGTAGTTATTACTATTTTTTTTTTCAATAACCATTTTTAATATGAAAATATTCTATAGGTATTGTAGGTAGGTAATAGGTATGTATATTTCTATGGACATTATAGATAATATTGTAGGTAATATAAGAAATTATTATAATACATTTTTTATTTGTATTTAGAAAATTTTAGATATTTTATGAAATCTGCTGAGCTTCCCTATTTCCACCAATCACATTTACTTGCGTTTAAAATTGAATGTCAAAAACAAAAATCATAAGTGAATATCACATACGTGTTAAATGTTACTTGTTCATTAGAGATAATTATTATAATATTTATATTACCGTAACTATTTAGGATTTAGAAAAATCAAACTGTTAAACATTTTTCCCACACACGCAGGCAAAACCACATTTGAAAACCCTTTTTTAGAGTTAAAATGTTAATTTCATTGTTTTTTTAAACAACTGAATTATAAAGTATTTTCTTATCTTAAGAATTGAGTGATTGAGAACAAATTGAAGTTCTAATAAATTATATTAAATAACATGGAAATATGTAAAATAAAAGGCAGACTGTTAAAAAATACAACATATAAGTTTTTAAGATCGAAAAAGTTGAGTCAAAGTTGATAGAGTAAATTTAATTCAAATTCAAACGTAAAGAAAAAGGAGTAATTCGATTTGCCGTGCATTTTTGGGGAAAAAAATAGTTAAAGATTTGTATTTTTTAGAAATTGTGTTGTAACTAATAACTCAAAAGTAAAAATGTGTTACCCTGTTAAATTTTCAAAAATATTCCATTAAGGAGTAAGGACAACGGGTTCCTGCCAGCAGGCGCATTGTTCCTACTTAAAAGCACAACTGTACAGCTGTTTAAATACCGATGGTACGCTCATGTATTATTGTGTTGAGTATATCATATAAAGTATCAAAGTATAATAATTAATAATATAATACTGTACATTTAGTGTCGCGTGGTCTGAACGCAAGTCCGTAATCGACGGGTGCGTGTAAAGTTATTTGCAAATATTTTTCCTACGTCATGTGCGTTATTATTATTGCTATTAAAACGAGCGGACGACGACCATATTATTATTATAATTTATCGTGTCCGCAAAATAATGCGAGCTCGTCCTCCCGCGCGAACGCTGCCGCGACAATATCCGCACTGTACCGCTTACCCTCCGAATTGTCGGTCCATTGAAACCGCGGTCGCCGTCACCGAGTTGAAAACGTGCGGTATGTTCGGTATACTGGTCCTGTACTACTTGTCGACGGCAGCGTTTCTGTTTGGCCGCTGTGGTTGTAATGGTCAGGCGACCGGTGTCGGCTCGCTAACGTCCCAAATCGGCGGTTACGCGGTATTCAAATGCCCGGCAGTACCACAACCGCGGTTCGACCAAGACGGCGGTCTTCGCCGTCTTGTGGCTGTACGTTGGACGAAAGACGTGAGTGCTCGCTTATTATTACGATATTTGCAAAATGCGACCTTACTCGTTGTAAGTCGCAAATGAAAATTTCATAACTCAATCTGCTAAATTTTTGTACAGTTTTGTTCCTAGATGCACATATATGTTCTGTATAATAAATGTATAAAATTATGTTAGCGGCAATGACATAAATTAATCAGATAATGTCAACAATTGTTATTGATAATATCATCAGACTCATAAGAGACAAGATATTTTAGGAATCAATGATAATTCGCGTAATAGTTTACATCACTGAAATTAGGCAGTGTTTAAAGCATTGTTAGATTTCCTAATCGTTTATTACAAGCTAGGTAATACTAAGATAGCGAAAACGATTGCCAAGCTTGTCATCATTACTTAAATTAAAATTTTGTTCTATGTGTACTTAATACTTAATACTTATGTAATATGAATTCAAACTATATAAAGCTAAGCATTACTGTTAAAATTTACTTTTGCCAATATATTCTTGACTGCGAATATTCGTGAGTAAGTTTTAGTAATTCTTATAATAGTTTGATTTTAGTTTTAAGTATAACAGATTCAAGAAGAAAAACTTATCATAACATTTTAAAGTATTTCTGCTTGGCCATTGGCTGATATTCGATTTTATTTTATTTACACGTTGTGTTACAAAAATTATTATCTACTTAAATGCTACTGAAAACTTTTTTACAAGATATTATCAATATTAATTTCCTTTGTGAATTGAAATATGTTTTTGATGGATGTCTTGTCTTAGGCCCTTAGAGACTCGGTAATATCGTTATGCATATTTTTGGCTGCTCTTTTTACCTGCATTTGAAGAGTATAGGTGTTTCATTGAAAGCGGACTCCACAGATTGTGCAAATGATTTGTTTCTTTTTAGTTATTAGTGTTATTACTTATTACTTTATTAGGTATTTACTATTTACGATTAAGTGGGATGTGTCTTATTTATAGGTTTGTTAAATTTACTTCTTCTTTTTTTGTAAGATTATTTATATTTTTTCAGCCCTCGATTGTTAGTTTAATTTAATTAAGTTAAGTTTCTTGTCTTTTCATTTGTTTGACTCTTGTGTTCTAAATGCTATGTTTATTGATTTAAAAGTGTCTTCATAGATACTATATTTTAAGTTTGTTTCTATTAGTTTATTGTTTGTTGTACATTTTACCAATTTTTAAGCTTTTTGTTCCCTTCGATATCACTGTGTTCAGGTATCCTGATTATGGTGATTATTTTTTCGTAATTGTTTGCTGTCAATTTATTTGTTTTTAAACTGTTTTCATTCCCATAATTGGCTGAGCTTGAAGAGTATGTTAAAATAATGTAATTACATGATTGTTGATAATTTTTGATTTGTTTTATTGCAGAGTGTATTGTTATTATTTTATCATATATATTTTTTTGTTAATCGAGAATTAGATATGATAATTGCTACTTTGGTTACTTTTTCGGTTTTTGAGACATCGGTGTTTATATGTTTTGTAATTTGGAAGTTTCTGATCATTTCATAAAACAGTTATTTAAAAATTATTGTTGGTAATACTATTATTATTTTTAGGTAAATAATAAAATATAAATTATATATTTATTTTTATATTTTTTTCAAACTTTAAAAATATCCATTTTTATTGAAATTTAATAACAAACATACAGCATAATATCGGTTTCATATTGTAATAAATTTATAACTATTAGATAATAATAATAACAATAATAATTTGTATTTACTAGAACGTTTATATTCTTTGACTTGGACATTACACTTATTACTCGTATTATTAATATTCAAAGTATTTTATGCTATATTTTTTTAAATTGTAACTTATAAGATATTATTAGTAGTCATCTGCTAAACAAGTTTATTAGAAGATATTAATCAGTAATAATATTTTATTATAAAGACTATGAGTACATAAAACGGCTATAATACGAGCAGGATGCATGGAGTGTTTAAACGCATAAAACATGTGTCTGTAGAGATTTTAAATTTTAAAGACTAATTTAATTCATTAATTAGGGAGTGAGTAAAAGTGAAGAATTGTAAATAAAATTCTTCAGAAAGGTGTATATATGTTTTCGTATACAACGGGGTGTTTTTTTTAATAATTATAAAAACTAGTGTTTTTTTTTTTTTTTAATGATTATGTAACTGGTATCTAAATTTTAGAATAATATACGTTTTTAGTTATAAATTATAATCTATTATATAAGAAGTAAACAAAATCATCGCAGCAATTTGTGATTATGTTGAATTTATTATATTCTCTTTACAGGGACAGATGGTATTTATGTTTTCAGAGGGTACTTTAATCACCGACGAGCGGTACGACGGAAGGACTACCGTGGTAGAACCCCTTGACTTCAGTGATGCTGTCTATATTTCTATTAACGTTTCCAATCTTCGCGAATCAGACACAGGTGACTACGAGTGCCGTGTACGTTATAGTGGTGATACAGGTCCTCTGCAGCATTTTTCGTCACAGCCACCTTTAACAACGCTGTCGTCACCCCAGTCGAGCACAGATTCAACGTTGAATGCTGTCGATAACGACATGGATGCTACAGCAGGTGTACAGTTCAGGTTGGATGTCGAAGGTTAGGCTTAAAGTTTGTTTATAATTATTGATTAAAATAAGAATTTTTTGATTTTTCAATCATCAAACTTGAATAGAATAAATTAATTTGACTTGATAAGAGTATATTATATTATAATGTTTAATTTATCAAAATAGTATACTATTATACTTGTAGCTTTATCATATTAATATACGCTAACTTTTTATGTTCGTTAAATAATTTTATTTACATTACGATATTTTTAATATTAACATATCATGTATACTGTTTAGTGTATTTACTATATATATTAAGATAAACAATAAAAATTACGATGTGTAAACTGAATTAATTGTTCAATATTAAACAGAAATTTTGAAATTTATATTTAAATAGATAATAAAAATGGTTTATAAAAAGATAAATTTACTAATCATAAAAACGAAGTTACTATATCTAGGCTTACTATAATATCTGCATGACTATGTATGTGCAACACTGTAGTTAATTTTTTTTTTTGAAATTAAAGAATCATAAGAAAAAATTATTTGGACCACATAAAATAAGACAATTAACTATTAGGTACCTACCTAAAATAGTAATAAACGATTTAATTTATGATGTTTGTATGATAAATAAGTAAAATTAAATTAATTATATAAGATCCTTAATTTGAATAGCTTGGAAAATTTGTTACAAAAATACTTATGGGTTATGACAAATTTATTTGTAGATAATTTTACGTTTGTTTAATAAATAATTAAATGTATATAATTATTAATTAAAGCAAGCCATTCTGTTTTAACAAATGATTTATCTTAATATTAAAAATTTTTAAAAGCATTAATTTTAACTTAAATTTTAGGATTATTTTAAATTAGTTATTCAAGTTAATAATAAAAAAAAAACTATTTTAAACTCTTATTAAAGTATTAATTATATTATATTAGTTACCTATAAAAATTATACTTAAATTTATCAATAATTATTGATATAATGGTATATTTTACGAGTAGGTATTATTAACAGGGATGTTCCCATAGGGTATACTATATATACGCCGTATACTCTCAAGATTTTTTTTCAATATTATGGATGTAATACGTATACTCTCAAGTCTCAATCGATTTGCGATTTTAACTCTCAAAATATTTTTACAAAATTATGAGTATACTCAAATCATATACAAAGGAAAAAACAAAAAAAATTTTAATTAAATAATTTTTCCATATTTACGTTATTTACATATCTTAAATATTTATTTTAATATTTGAAAATATTAACGAAATAATATAAAGAGGATATTTAAAAATCATATTTAAAATTTTTCCATTTTAAATAACATGCTCTTTACCGGCTTTACTTTTATAAACCATAAGAAAATATTTTTATTATATTAAATGTTTATACCTATTTTGATATTTTATCACTTAGTATACTCTCAAAAAAATTAATGGGAACATCTCTGATTATTAAGAATACAAATAATACAAAATTTTAATTACACGTAAGCAATATTTTTGTGACGTTGTGTAAATAACTGATATAGACGATAAGTAAACAGTAATACGAACAAATCCGTCATTATTGTGGTTTAAAATTATTCACAAAATTGTTTGGTCAACTTCATCTATCATATTAGTCCGTAAAATAATGATTTAAAAAAAGTGTTTGAAAAAAAAAAATTAAAAAATTAAATAATTGTTGTTTGTGAGCAAAAAGCATTTATTGTACAGGTTACAGCACATTTGAATATATATAATAAAAACTTTATAAATTTCAAATAATTTATTTCATTAGGATAATTTCTAAATTAAGTGTTTTTAAACAATTTTTGACTTCTTTATACGATTTAGGTCATATATGACCTTGACTTACTGATAAAATTGAACATTGTTAGAGATTACGAGGTCAGTCTACGAGTAAATATTATTCAGGGTCCTTTTATTAATTATTTATTGGAGGTTTTGTTGACAGGATGGACTTTATGAAGAAGTGAGTCGAAGGGCTTGTATGTACCAATCAAAAATATCCCACAAAAGTCTGTCAATAAAACTAACATATTATTTACTGTGATATTATTTTATACTTGTTTATAGTTTAAATTATATTTTAATTAAGCTCTTTCCTTTCATCATATAAACTTAAGATAGGTTTGCATGATTTAGATTTAGGTATGGTTCTTAGACATTATAAATTGGTTGTGTACTTACTTGTAAGTTCTATGAAAATTATTTAATATTTGTTATAGTTTCTTAACACAATAAAATTGTCTAGGGTTTTTATTATGCACCATTTAATAAAAATGTTACAACAGTAGGTATTTATAATAATTATAAATTTATAGTGTGAAATATGAATAATAATATAATAATAACGACAATAACCTTTTTCATACTAAAATTAAATTAATACTTCCGTATACTACATTAGTTATATTATCTACCTACATTACTGTACAATAGTAAAACAAGAATTAACTTTATTAAAAAATATAATATTTTTTAATACATAATAAATTGGTAGATATTTTTTTCTAAATGATTTAATGATAAAAAAGGAAGAACGGGGAAATAAGTAACTGCTTTTCTGTACAGTAAATGTCGCAAGTGTAGCTCGCTATTGAGGAGTAACTTACTATAAGATTTAATATGTATTAAATTTGAATTCAATAATAAATCATTGCACACAAAAAAAATTCTGAACGAAGACGATCTATTAGCACATATTAAAGGATATTTTATGATTTATTTATATTTTTAAAAATAATAGTGTACTTAACCTAGCAGTAAATTGAATTAATTTTTACTGATAAAATTGCATATTAAAATATCATTGTGTATAAAACTATAAACTATACATAAAATATAAGAATAAATGTCAAAAGTTTTAAGTATATTTAAAAATATTATTCGATTGTAAAAAAAAAGTAACTAAAATTCTTTATTTAAATATATAATTTCGTCCAAACGTGAACATTAAATGTCTATAAAAAAAAAAACTCTGTGCTATAAAATCGAACGCATTTCATAAATTTTTAATGACAAAATCGTTATTTTAAGCGTAAATATCTAATTGCATTAAAATTTAAATTTCAAACGATCATATAAAATATTTATAGATCTATGCTAACATTTTTTTAAACTTTTTTTTGAAGATAATGAGCCTGGTATTAAACGTTTAAACTTTAAGTATAATTGCTAACAATATAAATTTAGATATTTAAACGAAAATAACGTTAAAAATATTATTGAAGAAAATATAAAATCGTTTATACCACATATTTTCTTCTGTGAATTACCGCGAAGTATTGATCTTCTTTTCTTTTCTAATGTTTACATAATTACATGTATGTTTTTTTTTTATAATGTTATCCAAATATTAATAAAAGATAGAACTACAATTAGTTTAATGCATTTTTGATTTTTCCAACATGAAGTGAACACGCATGACTACCGTCAGTACCATCCACTGGTCAAATAGCTAAAGTCAATTTTTAAACACCTGTGACAATTTTATTTTGAGTTGTCAATACATCCACCCACTTTCTAATAAAAATATATCTCTTCGAAACAATATAGAGCAGGGACTCCTTAACTGTATACCACAAGCACATTTATGAAAGTAGGGGCCCCACTGCATGTACATACCATTTAAAAGTTTAATATTTTAAATATTTAATTATACCTACCTAAACATATCATCTTCTTATCAAGTCTTACGCAAATTGCGTAAGTGTAAATAACTTTTCATTACTCATGAGCCGTAATCACCAAACATTGATCCCTAAGTTGATAATATAATTTAATCAATACAATAGTAAAATATTTTTTTTGTTTTCATTAAAATATAATAATCTGTACTATATTTAGCACAATAAGAGTATACGATGATAGAACAAAAATGTATTGAATATTTGGTATAAGAAACCACCCATTAGTGACACTTGACTGGGAGTAAAATCTACCTAGTAAAATATAAATATTAAATACAGTAGTGTAATTGTGTGTACTGTGTGATGTATATTAGACATTAGTACATACTATATAGCGTAATGAATGACTAATGAATACCTCCTAAACCTTAATACTTAGTCAGTAGTAACCTGGGTACGTTTTACTTATAACTTAATGTAGTAAAATGTATAGAATTATTTTCCTCAATTACTTTGTTCATTATGAGTGATTTAAATGCTTACATTTGATTAATTTTTAATTTTACTATACTTAAATTAAAATTTAAAATTTTGACTAAGATTTACTTTATAAAATAATACACTTATATTTTTTCAGCAACGATCTGCAATATTTTTGCGTAACAAATAAAAAAAAAAATAAATATATCATATATTCATATGAGTGTACAAAAATTATCAAATTTCAAAAATAGATTGCTTACTGCGTAGTTGCTGTTAATTGTTAAAAATAATGTAATTTTGGTATTATTTATAATGATATATTTACTGGGTGTACAGGTGGAGATGTGATGAGTATACCGCCGATGAACCAAACCCGAATGGAACACGAGTCAGTTCATTTCAGTTGCGTCAAAGAAGATCCCGAGTTCGTAGTCCAGTGGTATAAAGATGGAGTGCCGCTAGACGATTTACCATTCTTGAATGGTAGATTTCTCGTTTCTCCGGAAGGTTCCTTAGACATCTATGACGCAGCATTGAACGATAATGGTTTTTATTCGTGCCGCATAGTATCGGAAAAGAGAACACTGACTGCCGGCGCTTTTCTCAACGTTCAGTGTAAGCGTTTATTGAAGTATCGATCAAATCAATATTTAATGTTATACAAACTCCTTAATTTTCAAGCCTCAAAAAAAAAATTGCACGTTTGGTGAATATTATTTGCTTATTGCTTATAATATTAGAACGATTTTTATTATTCCAAAAGGATTCTAATTATTTTTTTTTAACTTAACCTACTTAACGATCGAAATTTCGCCAGTGGGAAACTTTTCCACCGTCCCACCGATGTCTCCATGACTTAAATTTATAAACTTACTCATTATGTTTTTTATACCAAATTGTATAGATTTTATAAAAAAACCTACTTAACTGTTATTGTGTAATAAGTTATGTTTAAAATATTTATGGGGATTAATATGGGAGGAGTGGGTATTATGCAAATTTGATTGTTTATTTAAATGTAAATTTTGTTTCAAAAAAAGTTGGCTAAGTGGATACTGCTCTACTAAATATTAGGTTTCGAGTAAGTCACAACCATGGATGTGTTAAATTTCAATTCAATGATATATTTTCATTGTATACGAAAAACAAATCTAAGTGAAAACGGTTATCAGCATATATTACCAAATATATTTCATATGTTTTTTTAATGATATAATAGCTATTAAAGTCATTTATTTTACTTTTAGTATTACGGTGGGTGGATATAATTTTTTCTGAAAATATTGTATTTTTATATAATTACTCGTTAGTGTTTAATAATTATAATAATGTATTTTTAGTTTTTACCCTATTATATTAACTTATATAACTTAAACATTTAATAAAATCTTTCTGTAAATATTGTACAACAGTAAAAACAGATTTATGATGCCTATAAATAGATAATATTTTAAAATAAATCAAAAATGTTATTCTTTATATTAAAATTTATAATAATAATATACGTATAAGTCCTAAAATTCAATTAAATATTCACCAATGCAATAAAAATTTTAGTTATAATATTGTGCTTTTTGCAGACAAGGCGAAAGTTGTGTATTCGCCAGCTGAAGTTTTTCTTGCTTTTGGTAAGACCGGTTCTTTGGATTGTCACTTCCATTCCAATCCGCCACTGACAAAAATAAGATGGGAAAAAGATGGGTTTTTGTTCGATACGTATAACGTGCCCGGAGTTTACCACAGGCCAAATGGGTCGCTTTATTTTGATCGGGTACGAGTTATGCTTTCTATACAAACGCAGTATATGCCTCTAAGGCTCAAAGTATTGTATCTGTCCTATAGGCTTTAAGCATATATCTGGAGCCGTAGCACATTAATGTATTTAAACGCAGTTTTTTCAATTTATTGTATAATCCACGATAATTACATATTCAAGTCATTTATACATATATAGTAGCTTAAAGTTGGAAAATAGTATTTAGATATATGTTGATTGATTATCCATGTAGATAACCAGATAATTAGGGTTATATAATGTTTATATAAGTGTAGTGTATACCATTTTGAATATTATAATATTATAATAAGTGATATTGTGATAGGTATTTTTAAATATTTATGAATTTAACTATTTTTTTCTACTTATTATGTACATTTAACGTACATAAGGTTGAGAAAGAACACGGTGGAAAATACACGTGCACTCCATTTAACGATTTGGGAACCGAAGGGCCGTCTACGCCAATGGACGTTATCATCCAGCACCCACCGAAATTCATTGTTGTACCAAAAGTGTTATACTTCCGTAAACTCGGCGATAACATCACAATGCCGTGTGAAGCAGAAAATTTCGACAATAGAGGTCCGGCAATTGTTTGGCAAAAGGTATTATAATAATATAATATAATGTATAAAATAGGGTTTTCGTCTTTATTTTGTTGCCATAAATTAGGGATTGCGTAAATTCATGACTCGTAAATGGTTGAACTTATTTGACCCCCTTACACTGTCCGTCCAAAAGCTACATCCATCTGATAATTATCACATTGGCTTATGGGACTAATGATCTTATTCTAAAAACATAGCGGCCTATCAGGCAGTAGTGTACAAAAAACTAATTAATACACCATCGTAAAAGATAATTTGTTACTTATAATCTATTATTGGTGCCTGTATAAAACTACATAATAATAAGTTCTAAAGGATACACATTTGATTTGTTGTTCATATAAACTTGCATAATTTTTAACGCTTTTTCGTAAATTGTACGTAAATAACAACAACAAATTATTTTTTTTCTAGTTTTTAATATCCATTTCTCGACTAGTACTTACTTAGACTTTTTGTATTAACTGAAATACAATAATACACAATACATATTATTATACTTATAATTTATAGCATATTATTATCATAATAAGTACATATTTGTATTGTGCTATACATGTATAATACGTATTATTAATAACTACTATCATTATTATCTCATTAAATAAATAACAGATGATTCAAATAGAAATTATATTTATATTATTTTTACACATACTTATAGGCGGACGGTAAAAGTTTATTTTCTCCTCGAGTGACAGTAACTGGAGGTAATATTACTCTAACTGGCGTGAGAAGTGAAGACAGAGGCGTCTATAGATGTGTGGCGTCCAACATCGCAGCTACTATTTCGGTAGAAACAGAGTTGATAGTCGAAGAAAACTTATTCCACCGTAAACATTTAGATTTGCACGTTAATTCAACTAACAGAAATATTGTGGCTTATTGGAAACAACCATATTCATTTTGCACAGTTTGGTTAGTGATATTTATTTTATAATAAACTAGACTATAGAACCTAACCCATATATGTGTCAAGATTCAGGACCCAACCTTAATAATTTAAACATTTTATTGATAATATATTTAGTCAAGCTAGTTCATAAAATCATAACTTATTCATATATACCTATATATATATAAATATACACACAATACATATAAACTATGTTTAAAGACTTACAACATTTTATTACTTCATTTAATATTATTTACTGCACATAAAGAAATTTGCTAAAATTTACAATATTTCGTATAACAAATCAAGTAGGAACGAAGACACAACGCGGCTTTTAATATTGTTGTTTTATTTACGCCATGTCGTTTCAGGAGCAGAGACACGAGCTCAACATCGTCAAACTGGAATGTAACAGCGACGTCTAGCGACGGGAAAGCAATTTTATGGAATTTAAACACCGACGGAGAATACGAGATAATGGTGTCGTGCCGTGACGAGATAAGCGGGGAATCTATGAATAGCAGATCCATTCTGACAAATCGATCGAGAAGTGAGAACGTTTTCACAAATTATATCATATGAAATATAATAAGTACAATTCCTACAGAGACTGATATATTTTGTTTTTTTTTCGGTTTCGAGATATTCAATTACTTACAATTTTTTTATTAAAAAGTTATGATCCAGTTGCGGTAAAAACTAGTTAAATTAAAATGTTATTTTAAAATATTATTCTCCTTAGTACCTATGGACTATGTTTAACTTTTAATACATATGGTTAAGTACATAAAATAATTTATATTTAGCTAAACATAAAAATGAATGTACGTTATTTCTTGTTTGGGAAAAGCTTAGGTATAGGTTTTGAAACTATAGAGCCAATTGTGAACTAATACCAAATTTATATATTCCTTGTGACTTAGGGAATGTTGAATGTTTATAGCTTTTTATTTCAATCCAGTCACACATATGTTTTATTTTTATTTTCAAAAATCAAGTATTTTTTCTTATATTTAGGGTTGCTATTGGTTACTGTCAGTATGTTTATGATTTATAAATTCAAAAATTATTACACCAATTTTGACAATAATCATAGAGTACATATTCAATATGGTGGCAACTTATACGTTTTTATTTAATTTTAAGTAGTCATAAATCAACTTATGCTAATAAGATTAAAAATCTTTTGCTAAATAATGAAAATTTCAATTGTAATAAATGTAGAAGATAAATTTGTAATAAAGGATAGTTCTACGCAGTAAACGAAAAGGATGTCAAATAACTCTAAGCTTAATGTAAGAAAGAAGACGTTAAATAAATTATATTCTTTTATTCTTCATTAGAACTTTAGATATCGTTATTACTTTTCATTTTTAACATAGAAAATTATGCATTTTTAAGAGATATGGTGGTAGTTTTTGTGTAATAATATATTTATATTTTAAATTATTTTTTGTACTCTTATCCTAGATTATTATTAAATTATAATTTTTATTTTGGTATACTTGTAAAATTAATAGTAGACTGCTTAACTATATGACAGCTAGCGTATCGATACCGATTTGCTTTTTAACTGAGGTTTATTAAAACCAAGTTACACCGATATAGCTTCGTAATTTGTATTAGTTCATTTTTCACGGATGAAATCATATTGAACAACTATAGTTATATTTAGGTATTTAAAGAACATATTATTAATAATGTAAATAACCATTTAAATGTTAATATTTTACGAGAAATAAACGACTCTAAACAAAAGAAATATTATTTATTAAAATTCAGTTTTCCCAAAAAAATTATCATTTGATTAAAATCAAATTTAATTCTATTATATTCATTATAAAATACGATATTTTTTATTTAAAAATACAAGTTATGGAACTGATTTCGAGTCTCTAGACCTATATGATAAATGCTAATATATAATCTAGTTTTTAAATGTTTGCTACTCCCGTTTTCGTGTAAAACAATTATTGTTAATAGTTATAATATCATTTTTGTAGAAAACATCGGCCAGTCGACCGAAGAGTTGCACGAAAAGTCTTCGAGTCTCGTCGACGACAACCACCCGTTGAATATTCGAATTGAACATTCCGGTACCGGGTACAATGTATCGTGGACAATGGATAAGTCCAGCGTCGAACATCGTGTTAAGCGTTACGTGGTCAAGTGGTTCGACGCGTACGATGGTTCAGAACTCGGGTCGGCGTCTACCGCATCTAATAAAAGATACATAGGTAGGTAAAATTTCGAAATACGTAATTATACCCATCCGGTTTCCTGATAAAATATAAAATAACCAAAAGGAATCCTTTAACATATCTATTTCTGTATCTCATATCTTATTATATTATATCTTATTATATTTTTTATTTTTAAACATTATTTGTGCAACTAATTTAAACACTATTATGATTTAGCGTAATATCCGCAACTTTTTTATTTTTAGCTTTTAAGATTTTTGAACAATATAATTTATTATTAAAATTATTCGCGAAAACCATTTTTTAGTATATGGATTTCCTTTTTTTACAACTAAGTATTCATAAGCTCATAAGTACTCATATTAAAAACTCGAATACGATCGTGGTATTATTTTTGAAGATAAAAAGGTAGGACGGGCGCAATCGTGTTATACCTTGTTCAGTCGTCTCGTCCGTTTCATGACCGGCTCGATCCTTAATTGTGATATAGCGTCGTTTGTCATAATCGCCAATTGCAAAAATAGCTTAGAACTTTTTGTGTATAAACGGGCGCATGTAAATTCCACTGGTACATTTTTATTTTTATTTAAATATTCAGGATTTACCCTTTTACATTTGTGATGAATTAATTAGTATTAAAGTATAGGTATGATATTTTTTTTATTTTTAATCTAGTATATACAATCTATACTAAAAAAAAAAAATGTACAATAAGCATAATGTAATAATGTATGTTTTTTTTAATTAAGTGCAATGATTTAAGTATCTTGAGAGAAGAAACCGTCCAGTGAAGGTACTACGGCGTGAATTTACAATTATTTAGGTATTTAAGTATACATATTATGTTTATTTTATAAGGTCATGGGGCCATTGTCATTTAAGTCTTATGGGAGGATTACCGGGGATGGAGATAGATAGTAGCTTTTTAATATGGAGATTGGTGTGATTTTGAAGGCGATTCCTAAATTTTTTGTAATGTAGCAATAGTTTGGCTGTATCAGTGACTTTAGGAATTTGAAAATCTATATGAAGAGTGTGATTTGAAATATATGGAGGAGCGTTGGTTACGAGTCGTAGGATTTTCGATCGAAACACTTGTATTTTCCGTGTTTTTGAATTTGATATCTTTGTTGTGCCCCAAAATTGAATACCGTAGAACCAGATGGGCTTAAGAAGAAGATTATAGATACGAATTTTTGTTTTGAGGGATAGTTTTGAGAACTTTCCGAGAATAAGTCTGAGAGAGTAGTCATTGGTTTAATTTTAGTTTTGTTAATGTATGTGTTTGGCCCGTGTTAGATAGGTATGATATAAAATTATTAAACATACAATAACAATAAAACAATAGTAAGCAATAATAATAAGTTACAACAGATAATAGGTACATCATTTATGTACAGATTTCCTATTTATATATATAATATAATATTAAGATACTTATATCATTTATTTTTACACAAATTTGAAAAAAAATATGTAATAATTAATAATGATCATTAGTTGGTAGTTACTTATTTTACCATAAGTGGAATTAATATATTATCAGATCAAAAATACGTGTAGATACTTGTGGAATTTACATTTTTTTTTTCAGGTACAAAAAGCGTACAGGTGGAATTTACAATCGCGCGTATAAACACATGCATGCGTACGATATTATTTAGACGTATTTACTATATGGAAAATATAGTAGATAATACAAGTTATGATTAAAAATAATTTTTCAAAAAATTAAAATAAATTTTTATTTTGTTGTGTTATAACTATTGGGGAGACGCCGTCTTAAAGTTTCTCATAACACACTGCCCTAAATTGAAAGCAGTAGGTATATATGATAATTAATACACACATGGTATATTTTTTTTGTAATAGAAAATTTAAAAGAAGTTAATATTCAATAATATTTATGATTGTATTTGAAAAAGGATTTAAACACAGGTTTAAAAATAATTTTAAACATTAATACAATACAAAATATCAACATTTTTTTTATTTTGCAATGTAATACAATATTTAATATGGATTTGGTGACTACAGTGGCGGCGCTAGGGACAAGCCAGATAAGGCCATGGCCCTTCTAGTTACCTAACCTTAAAGATAATAAAAATCTCATTTTTCATAAGCAGAAAATAATGGTACAGTAGACACCGCTTATAAGACTCACGGATATAAGGTTCAGTCGCTTATTAGACTCAAAATTGTCTGTAACGGTCCGGACGTATCCAAATACATTAAAAAAAAATCGGTTTTAAGACTCAACACTTCGGTTATAAGACTCAAATTTCGTAAAATGAATAGTAGAAAATAAACTTTTTTGGTTATAATTTAGAAATAAATTGGTTTTGAAAAATGAAATAATATTCGTGTTGATTATTTCTAGTTTTTGTTGGTTAACCTTATAACGTACAATAATTTTTATCGCAGATAAAAGTTCACATTTATCGCAACGATAATTATAACGATTATAATTTTAGTTTTTTTTTTTTTATCGGGATTATTGAATTTATTCAATAATAAAGTATGTAATATGTAATATGTGTTAATGTATTAAAATCAAAGCAAAATATGTAGTAAAATAAAATTTATAAATACGTAATTAATTTTTTTTTTCCACTTCGCCTATAAGATTCATTTGGTTATAAGACTCACTTTGTGCTGGTCCCAAAGTGAGTCTTATAAGCGGCGTCTACTGTATTTGATTTTGTTCACTGTACTGTCTGTATGTAATTTAGATTAATATATATACTTCTGTGTTATATTATATAATTTTTGAAAATTATTGCCACCACTGGGTGTCTAATTATTGATCTTTGTTAGACATACTAAGTTCTTGATAGTGATACCTAGGTCACAATCTTTATAAACCTATCTGTTTATATTCACTTACTTTTCTTGACCCACAATATTTATTTCCTAGACTAAAAACTACATTTAATACTTAAAAACCAGATTTATGGACATTATTGACATAGTCTGTAGCTTTAAAACATAATTTATAATACATTTTGAATGTTTATTTTTTGTACAAACCTTATATGCTTTAAGAAAGATCAATAAATTTGACAACAATACATATTATTGAAAAAGGCAGAGAAATATTAAATATAACTAGCAAAGAAGTTATAATTCATTTTAATTAGGAACTAAAAATAGAGGTAGAAATCAAAGTTATATATTTTTAACAAAATAAAAAATATTCAAAGAAATCAATTTAAATTAGAGTGTAAGTATAACACATATTTAAAACTTTATTTAAATAGAGCCATTGTTATTATTATACATAATATTATTGCTTGCACTACTAATATGTAATTCAAAACTTTTAAGTTCTTCAGGTTTATGTACCCAACTCCCAAAATTTAATGACTTAAATGTTGATATTAATTCATTTTTAGCAGCTATATAATTCTTATTTTTATTTTTTAATGAATCATAAAATATATTTGTTTTATTTTCAGTAAGAGTTGATAGATTATTTGTAGCACTACACAATTTAATATACTCATTAGCTAATGAAATTTTACATACTCTGGATAACTTGTTTTCAATTGTTCTACCTATACTTCCTTTAATAATTTCGATTCCTTCATTTACAATCCAATTCATACAGTACGGTGTTTGTGTAGTAGATCTATAAGGAAGTATACTATATCCACGGAGTTGAGGTTTATGGACTCTGTAAATAAAAAATAATTTTATAATAGATTTAAAGTAAGAAAATGGTTAAATATTCACTTATAATCTTCTGGTAATTTATTGATACTGTTTTCAATACGACCATAAATTGTTCGCTTCATATGATTTATATTGAACATACTTCCAATTGATATAGATTCTAAATAAATAGGTTCGACAAAATTCGACAAAAAATTTCCTTGAAGCCCAAGCACAGTCCAACTTGTTAGTTTGTCTGAACATGACATAGTAACAAGACGTTCACCCTGAGCAATTCCATCATATGTTTGAACTTCTCGACCAAATACAGATACAGTGCCTGCACCATTTTCTATTTTTGATCTGAGCAAACCTCGATTCAATCGATTTGACTGGTGTTCTGTGTCAGAAAAACTAAAAACTCTAGCATCACCACAAGGAACAGTGTTTATGTATAAATGAAATGTAATATCTTTTGCTAATTTGAACTTAGATTTATTACTATTTGAGATAAATATAGAAGGATGATCTTTTACAGATTTCATGAGTTCTTTATAAAAGAATTTCATTAGACACCTACGGGTCAATATTTCTGCATGGCAATCATGTAAAGATTCACCACTTAAGCTCAAATAGTTACCAGATAAACATTTTGTACCAGTAGCCAAACAAATTACTTGTGCAGAGTTCAAGTCTTCTTTGGTTATCTATATAAATAATAGGTACATCAATACATGTAAAACAATTCATTATTAACTAATAATTTATTTACTTTAATAATACTTGCTATAACTGAATATTCTTTAAATTTATTTTCAGTAAATTCTAATTGTTGATATACTTTGTCTGTGATTCCAGCAAAATAATCAATTATTTTAGAATCACCATAATCAATGCAAAACATTTCTATTTGGTTTTTATACTTCATATTATTTATTGCCTGTGCTTCGTACAAGGATTTTAAAGCATTACGGCATGCTATTTCTTTTGCTTCTTTTTCACTTTTTCCATAACCTATATATTTATTACCAGAAACAATGATACTCATTGTTTTCAATAAACCATGGGATTCTTCACGTTCATATGTGAAGGTTTGTCCTGGAAATATTTCATGTAAGATACATATTGCAGATGTTTGATGTACAACTTGAGGTTCAATTGAAATTTTTTTTGATGGAATGTTGTCCATTAAATCATCTGTACATTTTCTTTTGAGAGTCGGTTCATCACTTTCTATAGTAATATTAGTTCCAGAATCAGCATTTATGATAGATGATTTGTAGTTCATTATTGCTTTTATTTTAGCTTTTTTTTTTGAAGAGCCAAAACCATCAAACACAGAACCATTTAAATGTAACGAAACTTTGAACGTAGGCAAATGTGGAGGTCCCATCCTCATAAAAGAAGACCACTCGTGATCAAGTTGAGCTGCATTGAAATCTCTTAATAAAGTTGTATTATCATTACTGATTGACTTGTCCATTATTGTAGTTTTAATTTATCATACAATCAACAGAATCCACAATTTTTAGAAGTCTATAAACAAAATAAATAAAAATACAATTATAAATGTTTTTAGTTGTTTAAATTTTAAGAAAATAAATAATAATATATTTGATTAAGTGCATAATATATAATTATTAATTAAACTTATAAACAAATTAATAAAAAAAATGTATATCTCTAATTAATATAAAAGTCTTTGAATAAAGAACTTATGCAATTAAGTTATATTTCAAATTTAAATCAAAAATGTATTAAACAACTAAAATAACAGAAGAATAAGAGGGGTAGTTAAATTGTCTTAGCATGCAAATACTGTTGTTATTTGTACCTACTTTACTTTTTTTTTTTTTTATTGAACTAACGATGTTCAAGAGCACTGTTGAATTACATCACACTTCATTTCCTAAGTAAGAATCTATAAACAATTTAAAAAAAAAGTAACATAAATTAAATGATATAACATATTTTATTAAACACAACAACTCGATAAAATATGTAATATTATACCAATATATCATTAGTCTAATATACATTTTATTAAATAATTTTTTGATAAATTATATAATACTGTGATATAGTTAATATTTTTTTTTTTATGTTTTATTTTAATTTTAAAAGAGTATTATACAATCTGTATCAGTTAATACAATAAGCATATAGGCCAAGAATTAAAAAAAAGGGGGGTTTAATTTGATGAAAGAAACCACCCAGAACCACATTTTCTATTTAAGAAGCTTAAATACGCATAATAATTATATAAAAGATCTCAATACCATTTATACTTTTGTTGCTTAAGAGAATTGTTGAATATGGTTCGCAAATACCAAGTTTTTAATTAAAGAATTTTATCATGAAGATAGCTTGTGAAACCTTTTTAATAATACTTGGCTTCTTTATCTAATATTTTTAAATTTAGTAGAGTGTTTTATTTAATACATAATAAGTTTAACAAAGAGAGAGAAGTATTTATTATTACATATGAGTTTTGGAATTAATGTGATGGGTCCAATTTAGTCTTTGATCTAAAGTGATACCTAGGTACTTAACTATTGGGTAGTAGGTGATTAGGCTTCTGTATAAGGTGACGTTGAGGCAAAGGACTAATCTGAGAGTCAAGTTTCTAGGTATCAATTTGTTTGAATTAACTTTGAATCATTACTTTGTAAACCAGCTTTTCATATAATGTAAGTAGTTTTGTAAATTTGATGAAGCAATGAAGGGATTAGTGTTGATAGAAATGACATCTTATCTGCTGTAAAATCAGCTACAGATGTATAAATGTTTGGTTGGTCTGGGGCATAAATAATAAAAAGAATAGGTGAGAGACTGAGAGAGTGCCTCCTTAAGGAATACCAGCATTTATAGCAGCTATGTTAGAGCAGGTAGAACTGGTACAAATTAAAAAATGTCGGTTTAAGAGATAGGATTTGATAAGTAGTTATCTGGAGGAAAGAAGTTTTTAAGTTCAAATAGCAAGCCATCGTACCAACCCAAACAAAGGCTTGTGATATGTCCAGAAACACACATGTGCAATTTTTTTTCAAAGGAGAAAGATATTTGAATTACCTAATACCTAACCATTCTGTGTAGTTGAATACTTGAATGTGAGGCAATGAAAGTCTATTGTCGTACTTGCGCTGAATACAGAAATACGCAATATAAATGTCGTGATAACGTTGAGATAGTAAGGAAAGTTGATTTGAAATATTCAGATTACAGAAGTCGGTGAGAATCGTCGACTTAGGAATTAATTCGATGCAGAACGTTATAAATATGATTTCCAAACAGCAAACAGTTTTAATATTTTACTGTCATCGATCATAATTTGGCCGTTTCTGGTTTTGACAATTTGTTATTATTTAGAATTTTTCTGTTAAACATTAGACATGTACTTACAGTGTTCAATGTTCAGTAGCGTAGTTTCAAATAATGAAAATGAAATAACGAATAACGATAAATTTCCAAGACTAGTTTCCTATATTATTAATAATTATCTATGTTTGTACAGGCAACAGGCATTATCACATTGTAATGGGTTTTGTTTGGATTCAACGGATTCATTGATAAGATTTGATAACGTGATAACGTTATAACCGTCCGAATATGAAATCCGATAGCCCATTCAGGATGTAAATAAAAACTGAATATTATCACAGCGACGAAATTAGTGGACCAGTTAGTAGTACAGTCATAATAAAAAAGTTCCGATTCTTACAAAGAAATTCCTACAAACTACCCTGTCTAGTTTTGCATTTTTTAGATCAGTGTTTCTCAACCGGTGTGTTGCTGAGGGCGATTGTAAATTCTACCGATTTATAGGTTGAATTTAAAATATGTAAATTCTATCGGTACGTTTTTTTACCTGAAAAAAAAATGTAAATTCCACCGGTACGTATTTTAGATCCGAAAACATGTTAACTCCGCCGATATTTAAATTTTAAATGTATTACGTATGTATAAATAAGAAATCTGTACATAAATTGTGTACGCATACCTATTATCTATTGTAACTTTTTATTATTATTGCTTATTATTGTTTTATTGTTATTGCGTGTTTAATAATTTTTTATCATACCTATACTGTAATACTAATTAATTTATCACAAATGTAAAAGGGTAAATCATGAATATCTAAATAAAAATAAAAATGTACTGGTGAAATTTACATTATAATTCTCAGATAAAAAAATTGTACTGGTGGAAATAACATTTAATTTTCAGATAAAAAAATAAACCGGTAGAGTTTATATGAAAAACGGTCTAAAAAGGTCGCAATCGGTGGAATTTACATGCGTCCGTAGTCCACTAGCCGTGTAAAGTGTAAACCCAAAGTGTCGCGTTAAGTCCTAATATTAAATGACGTAAAATGTACAAACATTGTTGACACTATTTCAATATTTATCAAAATTAACGGGTACTTGATATAATTTCTATGATCAATAGAAATAGACTTTTAGCTATCGGCATAAAATAAATTTTATTATTATCGTAATTCTAATTGATAAATGTTGGTTTTTCGATATTTTCGTTTATTTTTAAAGTGTATACCGAGTATACATATGGTATATTTTACTGAAAACATGCACTGTATCTAATAATCTAATTATCTATACTTCACTTTATTTTTATTCTCAGTTCCGGTGAAACTTAAAAGCGCTAATCGTCGATTTGTTTCGATAGACCAAAAGCGCAAATTCATTTTGCACTTTTGTACCTTAGTAGTGAGATAAAAGCTCAAAAATAAATATGGTACCCGTTACACTATATAAGTTTCATTTAAAAATTATTAACTATTCAATTTAATTATTCATTTTAATTAAATATATAGTATTTTTATAATTCATTAATAGGTACATCAAATGTGATCAAGTCCAGTTTAATTTTAGCATTATCGTATTATTCGTATCGTATCGTATTTTATCGTAACGAATTATGATGAAGGTTAATAATTATTTAATAAACTATATATTATTATATACAGTATAAATTTATACCCAACTTATAAAATAAACTTTATATTTTTGTAAAATTTATTTGTGCGTATGGAATATATTTTTTTTTTGCGTTTTTGGATCATATTTTACGCTTATGAAGTACAGCCCTCAGTTCTTATTTACTTCTATGGTCGAAGAAGTTTTTTAAAAAAAAATGTTGATTAAAAAATAAAAGGTCTTTTTTTTAATATTGCATCTATAGGTCTGAGTGTGTCGCCATTTTTTGAACCTAAATTAGGGTGTTATTATAAAGAAAGGGTGAGAACCACTACTTAGATAATACTGACCTTTCACATCCCTTAAGTTAGGGTGGTCTAACTCGCGGCCCTCGAAACCTTTTGTTTTAACTTTTAAAAGACTTGAATTAAATAAAAAAAAAAAAATCCAGATTATATAATAACAAAATCGTGACGTGTAATTTTTACGTTTTTTAGTGCTATATTGTAAAATGTAAGTACAACGAGTAACGTCTAAAACTATCATTCAATTGAGCTTGCTACGTACGTATATGTAGGTTGTAGGTATATCGTGTTTTTAAAGCAGTCACAGTAAAGCCGTGACTTTTTTCTTGAAATTTTGTAGGCATTTTCTATAACGAATTTAATAAAATCTAAATCAAGGAACCGTATTGAAAACTCGTCTTTAAAATCGTGCACAAGATTAACCATTACAAGTTGTTCATTGATACTGTATAATTATTATCAATTCGTCAATACTGTTAATTTATTATAATATATCCAAAAGGTTTCCGTCCGTCAAACGTATTAATGTTAATTACAAGTTATAAAATAAGGACAATATCCGTGTAACTTAAAACTTTTTCGGGTGTATAGGAATTATTATTATGTTATGATGCTAAATCCAATGCTTATCCAAACCTTATATAATGATTTGGGCATAAAATATAACATTATATAATACTATGTATGATATTCATTTGTCGTTTTCTAGTGGTAGAGCTAGCCGGTGGAAAGACGTATGGTATCCTAGTAACGGCCACCTCGGCGGACGGTCGACAAATATCCGTCGGCAGTCGTTCGTTCCATTCCTCGGCAGCAGCGATGGCAGCCACTACAACGTCCTCGTCAATGTCGACGGTCTTTACAAAATACTATTACATGGTACTGTTTGGTCTGCTCATCGCCGGTTTCGTCGTGTTGTGCTGCAATTGTTGCGGCGGTAAGGACAGATGATGTCCGAACGACAAATGTATACCTGTTCACCATTAAAAGGTATACGCGGTGTCAGTAGCGCCGATCTCTGCTAATATTTATTTCCTATATACACTTACTATTATATACTACATACGTGTTTATGTGACGATTTTCAAAAAATTATTACCCCACTCTAAAGACCTACATTATCCACGCCTGCTGCGTTTTTTTAATGTCCATAATACCTATATCGTCGATAAATTTATTATTATTATTATTATTATTTTAATTATTACGTTTTACAAGCCCATCACGTCCATCCGAACATCCATTCATCGTTACAAGAAATCTACTGTGACATGTTTCTTATTATAACGATAATTATTGAGTTCGGTACAACTATTTATTAAAATAAACTATACATATTAGTTATCGCCGTTAATTTTCATTATTATTTATTACTATTATTATTATTATATACTATTTATACGTTTTCTGCTGCTCTTAATCGAAGTCACGGTATTTTTATTATTATTAAAGTTTTGTAAAAATTTGGATATGTCATCCAAAGCGTATCCAAGATTTTACTATTATATACGAGTCAGCCTAGCTCATAAGAGAGGGAGGCCATGTTGTATTATCGCGAACTAACTATAATATTTATTATTATCTATTTATTTAGTATTCAATTTATTTACTTAATTTATTTCATATTTTGATAGGTAACAAAATGATTAAATATCTTACATTCTTAAAAATGTATATTGAAACAGTTAGTTAAGTATAATGACTAAAATTAATTTCAATATTTAGTTTAATATAATATGAAAATATCAATTCATATTTATTTTATTATTATTATTATTTTTTTTTTTTTGTTTACTGATATTAATTATAAATAAAATTTAATGAAGTAATTATTATTCGTTTAAAGAATTATTCCAAAAATAAAATAATTAGTTCGATACTTATAGGTATATTATTAATGTAAATTAATGTTCAAAAGTTACACCTTTAACCTCTTAAGAAAACGTCATACACACTCCCATTTGTATACATAGCCCCCGTTTGATAAACTTACAGCAGTAAATTGACATTTATTAGAACTATAAATTTATGTTGCATTAACTTTTATGTTATAGTTAATTTACGACGGTCGTCATTAGCGCACACTTACCGTTCATAACCGTACATTTTACACCATTCAATATCGCACACATTTATACTATTGTTAAAAAGGTACATTTGAAAGGTTGATAGTTCAAAACCGCACCGGTGCAGCACGTTTGGGCATTTTTACCTGTTTAGTTTTCAAAATCCACACAACGTTTGGGCACTCTATATCCCTAAAAAGATACCACGTTTGGGCACTAAAATGTAAAATGTATATACTTTTGTTTAAGAAGTATATAAAATATGTACATACATGTATAATATATTATATATTCATATACATATATCAAAATAATATAGAAAACAAGTTTTATAAAGTGTTAGTTACTATTTATTTTATAAAAAAATTAAAATTAAATAAGTACAAATAAAATAAATAATAATGTAGCTACAAAAAAGTGATAAAATACGTAAGTTATCTATACTCGTGTTAAATAAAAATAGTAATCTTATATTAATCAAAATAATGAAGGTAACATGTTTTAGTATTTTTTTATAGAAAAAAAAAGTAATATAATATATGGTAATTGTAATATTTATATTTTATTTCCTTGATAACGAATTCCCATAATTTTTAAATAGGTATGCAATTAGTGTCATGTCTCCTTTGTCATAAGCATTCCAATTATCAATCAAAAATTTCTTTTTAAGTTCAGCCTCTTTTCGGGTGTAATTGAATTTGTTTTTTTTTATACTATTTATTTTTAATGTAGTTTCTGCCTGAATGTTAGTTAGAACGTCTACTACATGGTGTATGTTTGGATGCGGATGGTAAAATTGTGCATTGAAATGTTTATGGAAAGCTTCGGGTCCGTTGGTTGTCCTAGTATTATTTATGGGAGCTTCTGCCCAAATATTTGGTGGAAATTGAGACTCTTTATTAATATAATTTTCTAAAATATAATCAGTAAACGTATGGTTATCTGTAGGAGCTATAGAAATGAGCTCAACAAAACCATCATTAACTTGTTCAGGTGGTAAGAATGCTAGACCAAAAAAATATTTTAGCCATAACCCTATTTCTGTATTATTTTTATACTGATTAAGTAAATAATTATTTGATTGGATTTTACGATACCAGTTTTGACCTAAATGAAATTGGCATGCAATAATTTGTACACTTGGAAATGATTCTTCGATTGCAATTTGTGCACTTTTTCAAAATCCAAATGTATTTTATTAATTTGTATTTCTTTGTTAATTAATTTTTTACAAAGTTCTTTAATTAATGTCTACATTTCCTTATATTTATCAGTTGATTTTGAATTTAAAAAACAATAAATTATAGGCAGATAATAATTGTTTTGTAATATGTGGATTGTATATACTCGTAATTGATAAAAATATGACGGACAATATGTAAAAGTACCATCAGCAAAAATTTCACGTACTTCACATAACATAACTAAATTTGTATAACAAGTGAATATTGGTATGCTTTCATTATTTTTCATAAAACAAAATTGTTCATTATTATTAGCAATGATATCGTTTTGATTGGAAAACAGTTGATGCTTAGCCTCGTCTATTGATTTAGGAATAGTTAATATTAGTTTTCTCCTAGCTTCATACATAGATTTCCTAAATAAACGCACATCTGAATGACTTATATCAACAGTAGTTTGATCTTTAAGTAATTTTCTGATTATTTTATTTGGTTTAGTAAATACATCATCAATGGCCTTTCGTTATAGTGTAGACATTATTTTTTGTCGAGTTAAAATATTTTCAGAAGTGGTCGGATGATTGTGATCATTTTTTTGTGAAATTATTAAATCAAATTTCTCACCGATGATTGCTGTTACGTTACATTTACGATTTGTACATCTGAAGTGAAAAGTTCGGTCCTTCAATTGTTTATTTTCACTTAGCTTATATCCTTGTATCAGAACGCATCGTCTTCCTCGTTTTGTTTCAAATATATCATCTATGGAGTTCATGGTAAGAATATTTACTACACACTCGACAAGCGACTACGGACTGATTGTCTGATATGGACTTATGGTGAAATAAATATGGATATGATGTACCTATTGCATTTTGTTACATTATTAATACAATTTTGGAAATTACAGATAATTTTCGATATTTTCAATAACGTCTATGATTACGCATTTTATCGCTTTCTACTATAATATTTATTATCGTAGGAAGTCCCGAATTCGGTTATTATTATTGTGCTCGTGTAATGTACTACGGTAGTGACCGCTCCGCTATTTTTTTTACTTACATTTCACATGGACGCATATCATACGATACGTGACATATCATACGCGCGAGTTTTTAGTATATATTTATGTTTTATACATCTATATACATATATACTTACTACATGCTATATAGAGTACCTAAAAACTATAGTGCTCAAACGTGTTGTAATATCAGAATAAAATAGTGTCCAAACGTGTTGTGATTTTGTGCCCAAACGTATCGCAATTCGGGATAAAATGCCCAAACGTGTTGTAGCCCGCACACATTTGATTAACAGTTAAAAATTAAGGATATTTTAATGTAAAAAAAAATTAATTTAGTATAAATTAAAAATAATTTTTTGTTTAATTAAATTGAAATAATTTTTTTATATTTAGTTTTTAAATAATCAATTAAATTTATTTAATATATTTAGAAAATAAAAACCATAATTGTATCTTATCTGATGAAATGAGAAACGTGTAGTTATAGTAATTTACGTATAATTCCAATAGTTTTATTTTTATGATTTTGTGATCTTAATTAAATATGATTAACTATAGTGTGCGATACTAAACGACAATGTTATTTTAAATAAATGTGTATAATTATTAATGTTATTGATATATATTAATGTGTGCAGTATTGAACGATTTAATTTGGGAAAAATATGCGGAATTAAGATATAAAAGTGTGCGGTTTTGAACGACGACCCTTTTTTGAAAGTGTGCGGTTATGAACAACGCTCTTAATTTATTATTGACTTATATTAAAAATATTTAAGGGAATGCTGATCGTTTTAAATTTTAATACATTACATATTCGTAATTTGCTCAAATATTTTTTTAAATACATTTTACAAGTTTTAATAATACAACAAGAATATATTGAGAAATAATTTAGTGTAAATTAATCAACTTAATTTAAATCTTAAACGATAAAATAACTAAACGAAATTATTCATAAGTGTATAATATCTTTCTATTTATTATATTCTTTATACGTTTTTGAAGTCCATGAGTGAATACGTGTTCATTAAAAATAATAAGTATATTCTCAGTTTATAAGTTTGGTCGGTATTAAAAAAAAGGTATCTAGAAAAAAAAATAATTACAAAAATTTTCTATGTATAGTGTAACAATAAAATATACGTCCTCCACCTCCAACATATAATTACAAAGTTACATATTTTCTATATTTTAAGACTTATGGAGATAAATTCTACTAGAAAAATACACACATAAATATTAATTATATAAATATATATTTTACTAGTATAAATAAATTTTCTATTTATTTTAAGCAGAGTTTATGTTGGAAGTAGAGAGTTACATATTACAGCTATTAAAATTTACGTTATGTATTAATGTAAGGAAAAATAAAAATTAAATTTTCAATCAACTTAAATTAATATTGATAAAATAGGTACCTACTTAAGACTTGAGTACAAGTGAATACATTTTGAGAAAAATTATATAATGAAAGTTTTGTCTCAACAGCTAAATTTCATGTTGGAATGGATGTAGAAATTTAAGTATAAACTAACTGTAAACAATTATTTTGAAATTAATTCATGGTTAGATCTTAAAAATATTTTTTAAATTAAATAGCATAACTGAGTTGAATACTATGGGGAATACATATTTTCATTTGTATGGTTTATTGAAATATTATAATGTTTTTAAACTTAAAATTATGCCAAATTTTTTATAACATAGTTTCGAAGATTCGTCTAGATTGTTCTTATCAAGAAATAAATGAATGATTTTATTTTACAGGATATTTAATGGCTTGATTATATCTTCATAGGAACCTCCTTAAACTAATGTCATATTTATATAAGGCCTGATAGAGAGAGATATAAAATAAATAGTTTTATAAATTGGTTATTTCACTCTTTATCGACAAAAAATGTTTGAATTTTAAAATTATTAAGCGTAATTTCCAGCTGGATTACTTCATTTATCATGTGTCATTTTCATATTTTAGAGTATATTATTATTTTAGATTAACTTTTACAGATTTTATTATATTTATTAACAAAAAATTTAAAGATTAACTAATCTTAAAAATACTTGAAACTATAATTTATCTATAATTTAGAATAATTATATCAAAAAGTATTAATAATTAGGAAAAGTTAATGATGCAGTTAAAATACAATGAATTACCATGTAGGTAATTTGTATTATTACAGTATCTTGGTCGGATTTTTCTCATCATTTGAAAATACCGTTTAATAAATAAATAGTATTAACATTTTGTTAAGACGTTAAAACGAAAAATGGAGTCTTAATCTCCATTTATTTTATTTTAGTTTTAAATTTCTACTATAAAATAGTCTATAATCATTGTTTTAAAGTTAGACTTTAGGTACCTACCAAGAATTTAGATTCTAATTGTGCACCAAGGATTTTTTAAGAAATTAGTTAATATTTATATTTTTTCCATCTGAACATTTCTGCATAACGTAAACCATATAATATGTCTGTATACGTAAATAATATAACTTAAAAGTATGTTAAAAATAAGTTACCTGTGTTAAAAATAGTTTTCACACGAATAATTATAACAAGGTATTTTCACAAGTTGTTATCAAATAGTATTATCATATGTATAATGAATTAGTAGAGAAATCTTAAAAATGGGTTTACATATCGGTATTGAGGATAAAATGTGTAAAGTTGATATCCATTTTTCTGAAAAAAAAAAAAAAAATGATTATTAATTTTTATATTTTATCAGAAAATTTTAAATAGGTATACAAAGGAAATTCAGTCCCATCGAAATTAAAAAACGAATCTCACCGTAATATTGTTATTAAGAACTTGAGTGTCAGAGTCTTTTACAATATTAATATCAATAGTCTTCTCTTTTTTAATTTTTTTATGTTTAAGTCTTTTCGGTTTCAGTGCATTATCACCAGTAATATTTATATTATAGGTTTCTTCTAAATTAACATTATTTTCATCCGAACTTTCATCTTCGTCGTCTACGGGGATTTTTTTATATTTGTAAATATTTTTAGTTTTTAAATGTTTATTATGCCTCTTATGTTTATGATTTTTATCTTTTAGTACATTATTCTGAGTATCATAATCATTATATTTTACATAGGTATTTTCTGAATTATAATTATATTCATTTGAACTTGTATCTTCATCACTGACATCTACAGGGATTTCATTATTTTTATAATTTTTAGTTTTGGAATGTTTTATATATTTTGACTTCTTTTTAGGCGACGGATTTTTTTTTTTAGTTAAATTAGTATTTTGAGAATTTTTTGATTTACTACTTTTTATTTTTAATTTTTTTTTAGAATCATTATCTTCACTGTTAATTTGAATGCTGGAACTATTATTAACTTCATTGCTTTCCTTAGGTGAATATGTATTTCCTTTTATTTTTTTCATCTTTTTAATATCAGTTTTATTATTTTGCAATATTTCAACATCTTCATCATTTATACCTATTTTTTTATGACTTTTATTCTTTCTATGACTACCAACATCATCATCTTTATCACCCTTAGAATATTTTTTCTTATAATGTTTCTTTTTATGCCCGTCATCATCATTATGATTTCTTTTATTTTTCTTAGGTCTTTTATTATTTATAAACTCGCCATCATCACTATCATTTATATTTTTACTTTTATGACGTTTATTCTTTTTAACTTTTTTTTTATGACGTTTATTCTTTTTACGCGTGTCATCATCATCATTATTTGTAACTTTTTTTTTATGACGTTTATTCTTTTTACGTGTGTCATCATCATCATTATTTATATCTTTATTCTTGTAACGTTTATTATTTTTGTGTATTCTATTATCATCATCATCATAGTCATCATCATTATCATTATCATCATCATCATCATCTTCATCATCATCATCAACATCATCATTATCATCACTTATATTCTTTTTATTGTTACCTTTTTTTTTATTATGCCTACCATGTCTTGTATGTTTTTTACGCTTTTTATCTTTATGTTTCTTTGCTTTTGTGGATTCCCTGATTTCATTTTCATCATCAGTTTTACTACTTATTTTTACTTCAAGACTTTCTGATGGTTTATTTGTTTTTGAATCAGGCTCTTCTATACGAATTGGTATTTCTGATTTAGTAATAGGAACATCATTCATTAGTAAAACTTTGTTGATAGATGGATCATGAGATCTGATATTTTCACTTTCTCTCAAAGAAGAACGATTATTAGATAATTTATCTAATTTAGAAAGTTTATCATCAATATTATCGATTTTTTTAAACAATTGTTCAGACATTTTTTTAATAAAATCGTCATATTGTTTATTATGAATATTGGAATTTACATTACCATTTATAACAGTTTCAGTATTAGTTAAAATTTTTTTTTCGTTATTAATATCATTAGAAACGTAGTTATCCTTTAAAGTATCACCAGTAAATTGATTTGAACCATTATTAAAATTATCATTTTCTTTATGTTTACTAAGATCGTAATTTATTTTGGGTGGAATTGTTTCCCATAAATTATAACTTGAATCATCGCCTCCAACATATTTTGTGCTAAAATGAGGTAACATTAACCCGTATGGATTACCATCCTCTGATGAAAATAAACTGTTAGAATTGTGATCAACTATAAAGTTACTTATATAATCATGATTAACATTCATTTCTTCAACTTTATCAATATCATTATAATTATGTATTGCATCTAAGTCAGATGAATGTTTGTTGATTACATTAATAGGTAATTCCGTCATAGTTGTTTTATTGTGGTTAACTATTAAATTTAATTTATTTTGAGTAGTACCATCTATTAAATCTATCATTTGTAAATCTGTATTTTCTACAGGATTTAATTCTTTTATCAATTTATTTTTTGGTAATGGATAAGGTTTAATTTTTTTATCTAGATTAGACGATTTCAATGTATCATCATCTAAATTATGTAAAATATTATCTGTTTTTAACTTTGGAATAACGTCTGTTTCTTTGAGCCCTGGTTTAAGCATTTCTGATCTGTCTAATCCTTTAGGGCTACCTAACAAATCGTCATTTAAATTTAATTCCGATGAATCGTCTAATTTAATATTTTCACAAGTATCAAAGATATTCTTAGGAGTTTCTTCAATAACTGTTGGTGTACTATGACTAGATAAACTCATATTCGTATCGTCTATTACATTACTAGATACAACAGTGTTATTATAACGAATTTCTGGCAAAAATGTTTTTATTTTGTCAGTTTTATTTGGAACACTACTATCTCTCATATCTGGAGTTTGTTTATTTGTAATGTCTAAAGCACTTAGTTTTTCAACAGATTTATTTTTTTGTAAATGATTATATTTAATATTATCTTTTAGAGGAGTCGAAGTTAATGAATCTTCATTTGACATATGCAATATATTATCTACATTTGAATTTGGAATAACGTTTGTATCTTCGAGCCCTGGTTTGGATGTTTCTAATTTGTCTAATACTTTTGGGCTACTAAATAAATCATCAATTAAATTTGATTCCAAAGAATCGCCTTGTTTAATATTTTCCAGAGAATCAAAGATACTCTTAGGAGTATCTTCAATAACAGTTGGTGTACCTGTGTACTTCGTTCAGTTGTTACTAATGGTCGTTTTATTTTTAAAACCATGTTCTATCATCTTTGCTGCCGTTGTCATGTGGTTTTCCTTTAATACTCTAATGAAGAATGGTGAATAGAATTGTTTTCGTCTGTGTTATCTAAACTTGTTTGCATTCATTAATGATTCGGATTCGTCATTATCCA